AACGGTGCACAACCGATCAGATCTGGTCGGTCATGCGTTGATCTAGCCATTTCTAGCCAGATTGTAGGCCAGAAATGACCAAATGGTCGTGGATCTGATTGTTTTCAGCCATCAATCTGGCTAGAATATAATGACATTTTGTGTGTTCAATCGTGAATAGAATGACAATAACTTTAATGTCACGTGATAATAAAAGAAAAGTACGACATTTGTCAATATATAATAATTTATATGATTACCGTTTTCCATTTTGTTAATTACATTACAATTTGAAGTATGTAAAATTTTCTGACTATTAAGATGTTAAAACTTAAGTGAATTAACCAAACATGTAATCTTGATTTGATTGTAGCAACAATCAAATCAAGTAAAATAGAATAAAATTTTTAAAAGTAAAGTATGGTTATAAATATAAAATTCACAAATCACAATGTCAATAATTCACGAGTGTTAAAAGAGGTCATTTATTAGAATAAAGTTGGCTAAAATCCCCAAAAGGTTAAACTCTCATTTTACAATGGATTAGTGATACGATGAGCTTAATTAATTAATAATTAATAATTTTGTCTAAATAATCCAACTTTAGGAGTTAGTATTATATATTATAGAGTAAACGATTTTTTCCCACCCGTACAATGACCTAATGATACTTTCCACCCAAAAAGTTTCAAAATACAATTTTACTATTCACAGTATAATTCTGTTAATCAATTTCGTTATGAAGAAGGGCATGATAGTCAAAAGTCTGTTATAAGTAAGGGCAGGATAGTCAATTAACATTAATTTTGTTTTTTGGGCTTTTTGTCAAACAGGTGGAGTGCCAACTTCACAAACGTTGATTTCCAATGCCGAAAATGATTCAAAAGCCCAGAAAAACAACACAAATCACTTCGAAAACAATCCTAATCAACTCCAAAGATCAATCTCCTTTCAATTCCTTAGAAACAAACTCTAATCGAGCCCAAAAAAACACTAAAATCGCAAACCCTGGGGTGAGTGGAGGCTGGCGAATGGTGAGTGTTACACTATTCTGGATTATTATTCCGTCATCCTATTTGAATTAAAAAGTAAACAAATAGTTATTATACTTTTTAATCCAAATAAGATAACAGAATAATAATCCAGAATAGTGTAACAAACAGGGGCTTAGCATTAAAGGGAAGGATATTTGATTATGGAATTACCAATTTATGGGGGAGCATTAATACATATATATATATATATATATGGTATTTTTGGGTTTAAAGAAAGCAAAAACAGGGACATAGGATCATTGCAACAATTTTATTCAATTTCGCGTTATCCATATGAAATTAAAGTCAATCCTCATAATTAAAGAGCAATTATGCATGAATACCAATAGGAATTTAGATATTTGGGAGCCCTTCTAATAAAAGGATCATGAGAATAACTTTAATATGACGTGACAATAAAAGAATATATAATAATTTATTGTTAATTACATTGCAATTTGAAGTATGTTAAATTCTGTAACGATTATGATGTTAAAAAAAGAATTAACCAAACCTATAATCTTGATTTGATTGTTATAAATATAAAATTTACAAATCACAATCATCAATAATTCACTAATGTTAAAAGGGGGGGTCGTTTATTAGAATAAAGTTGGCGTAACGAACCCGAAAGGATAACCTTTCAATTGACCATGGATTAATTATTAAGTTTATCTAAATAATCTAACTTTAGGAGTTGACATAATATAATATTCTTTAACTAATAGGGGACATTTGGATCATATACTATTTTATTATAGATGATCTTATATTAACGGAAAGATAGATCACCTTGAAGATTATTGAGAATGTTTAGAAAATGTGTTTGGTTGGTTCGAATAAATTGGTGAATAATATATTTGGTTGGAAAGATAAATGGATGGGCATGTAACATAGATTACTAAATTGCCCCATTTTTAAATATTAATATAATATTATTTTTTTAAATGGTTTTTTTTAACCCCTTACATTTGAAATTTTGCTAAAACACCCCGGTCATATAAAACTTTAATTTATAGCAAAATCACCCCCACCGACCCCAAGCCACTACCAACAGCCAGCCACCACTGCCAACCGTTGTCGACAGTCAACGGAATGGCGTACAATTGGTCGTATATGGCCGGTCGTGCACCGACAAATCCATTTTCGGCCATGGATCACAAATTCATAACTGTTTCACGACCAAAGATCTAGCTGTGGCCATTTCATGGCCACATCTTTGGTCATGAAACGCCATAGAAACGGCCAAATCTGGTCATTTCCGACCATGGATCTGTGATCTATGGCTGGAAAAGGCCTTACTAGTGCACGGTCGGCCAAATCCCACCGGTCATGCACCATTACGGTGATTGACACCGGCAGCCGATGGTGGTGAGTAACGGTCGGTGATGGTCTTGGATGACTGGGGGCAATTGTGTCCGAAATGGTATTTAATTAAGGTCAAAATAGGTATAAAAATCATATTATTCCAGTAATATTTTAATTTAGGGGGTGGGGGAGCGTATCAGATTACCCCCCACATTACCAACAGTAAACACTATTTATAAAAAAGATTCTCATAATATTTTATTATTTACAAACCAAACACCAGAATCTTGCAAAATAAACGAAGATCATCCCCGTTATCTTATATGCCCCCATCTAAACGCACCCATAAATGTGCGCATGTTTGTCCAAAGAGGATATGCAATATATTCTGGAACAAAGTATCAAGTTTACAAAGAAAGGGAATCAAATTCCTAAAAGTTTAATTATAGGTAAGCAAAAAACGACACTTTCCCACCCGTCAAGTTTCAAAATGACACTTTCCCATCTTTTGTCAGATTTTGTTAGTGTTTTCTAGTAATATTTGAATGACAAGACGAAAATATTCTTAAATAGTTTATTATAAATTAAAATTTAATTAAATCAAAATCTTTACTTGATTATTTATTAGTTTTAAGCGTAAACATATTTTTTTTCCTTTGTTTATTTAATTAATTGAGAATATTAATTTTTTATATTAATTAGTAAAAATAAAAACATTATAAATTCAATAGATTGTTAAATAATAGTGATGTAATATTGATGATATTATAAATAAATAAATATTAAGATCGTTTAACTTTAAATAATTCTATTACTCCTAACTTTCTAGGTGTAGTTAACTATTTTTTCTATTTTGATTTTTTAATATTTCACTTTTTGAATAATTAAAAAATAATAAAAAAATTTATAAAGTCAAATATTTAAGGATATTTTCGTCTTTTCAGTAAAATATTAACGAAAACATAACAGAATCTAATGTAGGGTGGGAAAGTGTCATTTTGAAACTTGAAGGGTGAGAAAGTGTTGTTTCACCAAACCTTGGGTGGGAAAATGTCATTCTCCCATATTTAATTAACATGCTAAAAGCTTGATTTAGATATTTAATCGCATATATCTTTCCGTAAGGCTGAAGATCTTTTTTTTTTTTTTTTTTTTTTATTCGCCACTTTCTTAGTATATTGCTCCTAAATTTTAATTAAAAAAAGGGGGAAAGTTTTCTTATTTAATTGCCATTAATTATCAAAATATCAACTAATTAAGATCTGAAAAACACTTAGAAAAACAAGACCCTTTTCTCATACTCAAATTAAGGAATCATCTACTTTTAAATGCATCAATAATAAAGGCCTTTTTCAATATTTTTGGACCAAAAATGCCCTTAACTTCCTTTTCCCCTACCACTATACGGAGGAAAAAAAAAAAAAAAAAAAAAAGACCTTTGGAAACCTTGGTATTGAAGCTATTGATTTGAGTAAGGCAACAAATTTGTCTTACAGGACTTTGTATTCAATTTCCCAAAGAATAGTTTCGATGTTCTATCAGTTTTTTTAGATTTAAGATTATATTTTGATTTGTGGGTGTATTTAGTTGTTTATTTATGTAGTATGTCTTTAGTTTTAGGTGATTTGTTTGTTTTCTTTGAAAAAAAATGCATGATTGAATTAAAAGAAATAAATAAAAAAAATAGTTGTAGAAACAATTTCCGAAACAATTGAATGAACTTGTGCGTTATTGAATAAACTCGGTGTACAAGTAGGTTTTATTATGAAAGAATAAAACTCGTGTCATTCAAGAGTACATCGTTTATACAGATGAGTAAAGTCATTCTTAGACAGTACAAGTGGTTATTATTATGAACTCTTGTGCCTTAACTCTTGACTTCACTTTTGCATCTCAAAAGGAATATTCATATAAATTAGACTCAAGCGCTCGAGTGAATTCCCTCTTAAGGTGCAAAAGTGACTCTTGTGAACTCTTACACCCAAAGAGTAGATTAATTCACCTACTAAATGCTCACGTAGAGTAGACTTGGATGCCCGAGTGAATTCCTTCTTGAGGTGTAAGAGTGACAACACTCAATGTGTATATGACATTGAAATACATATGGGGTTATTTTTATCCAAAAATTTGTAGACAAAAGTCTTGGTAACAACTAACAAAGCCATATAAAAATGGGTCATTTCTTAATTTCAGTTTTGAAAAGGGGTTGATAAGTAATTTTGTCGGAATGATCCGTCTTCTTCTGGGGAATGGCGGAAATGAAGAAATTAAGAATATGAGATAGTAGAAGGGTAATTTGGGGAATGTTTTTGAAAATTCTCCTTAAATACTTTCTTTCTCCAGTCCCTTTCTTGTCACGATTGAAAGCTTTCTGTTACATTACTGACTATTTTTGTCTCTTTCTCATCGTCCCCAACCTTGCAATAACAGCAGAGAAGCCTAGCGCTAACATAACGTAATTAATCATATAATATAAATGATGAAATTAATTAAGATTAGGTAAGTTCAATTATGAAATAATCATTTATTTGTTGAAATATATATATTTTATTTTTATATTTTTGTGTAATTTCTGTCCTTTCAGCAACCGTTGGTCTATTTTTTTCATTTTTCACTGCTATGCGTCTCTCTCATCATCACACAGTTTGTTTTATATAATGCTTAGTCACCACACACTACCTTATTCACGCGAAAATCCTTCCATTTTAGACTTTCTTTCCAAAATCTCTCTCATTTTCACTTTGATTTCCTCACGCCTCATCACTTTTACATTCTTCTTCTTGTTATAGATATCTTCGTTTATCTTCTCTATTCTTCATGTAACTGCAATCCTTAAATCCGATATCTTGTTTCCCACTTCATAAATTGTGCTCAAAGCTCTCTCTTTTGTATAATGTAATCTTGGTTTCAACTCTTCTTGTTCGTTGGTCAATGCCCACTTCCTTCAAATTTGAATAAACCGATTTTCTAATGAGGTCAATCATGTCTTCTCGTTAATCCTGCTGTGTCGTGTCCGGTTTCTTTGAGTTTTATTGAGGCCCATTTGCTTTAAATCCTGTTTGTGATAATGGGATTTCGTTAATTTGGAAGTTTTTGTGCTCAAAGTTTAAAAGTTCTCTACTTTGACTTGTGCTTTACTTCAATTTTTAAGTCAGCATGTAAGTTATATCATGTAAGTTTTCTTGTAATGCATTTTGTTTTTGTTGATGCTCTTTTTGGCGGGATTCAGTTGATGAGTAAGTAGAAAACAGTTAATGATGGATCTTAGTATTGTTGAAGTTAGTCGTTAGTTGAATTTCTGAGGTTATGGAGAGCATCTGTTCATTCCGTTAACTTGGACTTTTTTCTCTGATCATTATGGATATTGTTCGCTAATATCTTTGATTTTCTGTTTTCACTTTTATATGGAATCTAAGTAATTTCAGTAGTGACTCCTAACTGATTCTTTGTTCTTTATAGCAATATATTCATATCATTCTTTATAGATTACACGAAATGTAAATTTTTTTAAAAAAATAATTGGATTATTTACTTATTTATGCATCCAAAAATGGTGAATTCACATTTTATTCTGAAATTTTATATGAGGAATAGGAAATACTTGTCTTTCTGCCCATAGGTCCTTGTCCTTTTCTTTGCTTATGCAAGTCTAGTTGCTAGATTGGCCTCTCGAGTCACTTTAATCTGTGTTTCAACCTTGTGTTTTGAATTTCATCAATTTTGAAATCTTCAAACAAATAGGAGAGGGTGCAAACACCTCACTTCTGTCTTATTTGTTAAAAATTTGAATTATCATGGAAGAAACTTTTGTTCCCCTCCGTGGAATTAAGAATGATCTCAAAGGAAGGATCGTATGCTACAAGCAAGATTGGACTGGAGGTTTTCGTGCTGGTTTCAGGTTTGTGACTTGGTTGACTAGAGAGAACAACATATTTTTCATAGATTATTTTCTTATTATTATGACCTGCATTTCTGTCTCAATGTACACAGCTTAAAATGATTTGAAGTATTAGTATCTTCTAAGCTTATATGTTTTCTTCTATTTAGGATCCTAGCTCCGACAACATACATATTCTTTGCCTCTGCTATTCCAGTTATATCTTTTGGGGAGCAGCTTGAAAGAAATACAAGTAGGACCATACTTAATGCAGATTTCCCTGTCCTTTTGGCGCTTCAGATTGTCATTTATTCAGACATGCTTTCTTTGGTTATATGTTACAGATGGAAGTTTGACTGCAGTGCAAACCCTTGCATCAACAGCACTCTGTGGTATTATCCACTCAATTGTTGGAGGACAGCCCCTGCTCATACTTGGAGTGGCTGAGCCAACTGTGTTGATGTACACATTTATGTTCAACTTTGCCAAGGATCGCAAAGATTTGGGTCAGAATCTATTCTTGGCCTGGACTGGATGGTATCAACACTCTGCAACATTGAATAGTACCACCCTGATTGATTTCCCGGTGACACTTAAATATCTTGTATTCCGTTGGGTTTTCAGGGTCTGCGTTTGGACGTCTCTACTGCTCTTCTTGCTGGCCATTTTAGGTGCATGCTCCATAATTAATCGATTTACACGTATTGCTGGTGAATTGTTTGGTCTGCTGATTGCAATGCTTTTCATGCAGCAAGCTATAAGGGTGAGTATTATTCATGAACTTATTTTATTAAATGATTGACCCGGCTAGAGCTAAAGGAGGGTTGGAATATTCCTGAAAATACTTACATATGCAGTTCTAGAGTAATTTTAGTTTCTGGAATGATTTTTGAAATAGTGGTAATTCTAAAATCTGACAATTTTAATTTAAAAGAGCACTACATGAACACAATTATACGCTGTAGAAACTCTAATTTCTCAGTACTTCAAACTAATGAACTTAATTCTACAGGGAGTTGTGGAGGAATTTCGCATTCCAAAGAGAGAAAATCCTGATCAGATTGCACTTCAACCCTCTTGGCGATTTGGCAATGGAATGTTTGCATTGGTTCTGTCTTTTGGCCTTCTTTTTACAGCACTAAGGAGTCGTAAAGCTAGATCATGGCGCTATGGTTCAGGTATAATGTCACTCTTTCAATTTCATCACATATGAGTTCTAGATTCTACTTAAAAAATCAGGAAATCTCATTCTTTTGATAATGAAATTATTGTTTGAGGTTAGCATATCTCATTCTTAAGCAATGCCTGTGATCTTTCCCTCAGTTTCCCACTCGGGTGAATTAAGTTTGGTTCCTCTATAGTACACTTATCAGTTCTGTACCTCTTGAACTTTACTGATTGTTGAATGGGATCTGAAATCTCTAGGTTGGCTAAGAGGATTTATAGCAGACTACGGGGTCCCTCTTATGGTGCTTGTATGGACTGGCGTATCGTACATACCTGTAAACGATGTTCCAAGAGGGATTCCAAGGCGACTTTTCAGTCCAAATCCATGGTCTGCTGGTGCATACTCAAATTGGACAGTTATCAAGGTGAATCCTACAAAACATTCTCCTCAATGAATGAACATTGTGTTGGCGTCTGCTTGAAACAGTGCCAAATGTTTTCTGTCTCATCCTCAGTCATGCAAGAAACTGATGCTTGTTTAGTTGTACAGGAAATGGTGGATGTGCCTCCTTTGTATATAATTGGAGCATTTATTCCAGCAACCATGATTGCTGTTCTTTACTACTTTGATCACAGTGTTGCATCTCAACTAGCCCAACAGGAGGAGTTCAATCTGAAGAAACCATCTTCCTACCATTATGACCTTCTTCTTTTGGGTTTCTTGGTGAGCTGTTGTCTTGACTGATATTTTTATCTCATGAACTTAATGAAATTCAAAGCACACAGTTAATTAATCCATTATCCTGGAAATTTATCTAAAATATTTTCTGACCAGGTAGTATTATGTGGTCTTCTTGGCATTCCCCCTTCCAATGGTGTGATTCCTCAATCCCCGATGCATACTAAAAGCTTAGCTACCCTGAAACATCAGGTTATTTCTAATTTACTGGGTTCTTAAACTTACATTTTAATACCCACAATCAATTTATTGATATAGTATTTGTTGTATTATGCATTGTTGCAGGGTTATTTATATATGTGTGTGTGTGTGTGTGTGTGTGTGTGTGTGTGTATACATATATATGTATGTATGTATGTATGTATGTATCTTTATTTATATTATAACTCTATCCAAATTTTGCTCCTCTTTTTGACAGCTTTTGAGGAATAAGCTTGTATCAACAGTGCGGAAAAGTTTACAGAAAAATTCAAACCTGAGTCAATTATACAGTAACATGCAAGAAGCATATAACAAAATGCAGACTCCACTTGTCTATCAACGTCCATCTGCTCTGGTACATTCATTTGCATTTTTCTTTTGGATTGATATAATTTCTTTCCTTCATTGCCCCAACATTTAATTTCAAACAGGGACTGAAAGAGCTGAAAGAATCCACAATCCAACTGGCCTCAACCTCTGGGTACATTGATGCCCCTGTTGATCAGACCGTTTTCGATGTGGATAAGGATATTGATCATCTTTTGCCTGTTGAAGTCAAGGAACAACGTCTCAGCAATTTGCTTCAGTCAATTATGGTTGGTGGTTGTGTTGCTGCCATGCCTCTCCTGAAGAAGATCCCAACTTCTGTTCTTTGGGGCTACTTTGCCTTCATGGCCATTGAAAGCTTGCCTGGTAATCAATGCTGGGAGAGGATATTATTGCTTTTCACTGCTCCAAGTAGAAGATACAAGTAAGTGTATCTTGATATATGCAGCTATAAGTCGCATTATACCGTGGGTCCTAAGATATAATCTATTTTCATTATAAATTCTGTTTTCTACTTGTTCAGTACTGTGGCTGGAGTTACAATGTCATGTAGATAGAGTTTGCATATTCCCAATTAATGCTTATGATGAATGAATAATCTTAAAATTAAAAGTAACTGAATTATATATTCGACTTGTGAACATAATTGCAACCACAATTATCAAGATAGTTACTTAGTTATCATTATCATTTTTATAAAAATCAGACATCTAATTCCCAGTTTTGACTTTTCAGGGTGTTGGAGGACTATCATGCAACATTTATTGAAACTGTTCCCATCAAAACAATTGCCACCTTCACAATTTTCCAGACAGTTTATTTGCTTGCATGCTTTGGCATAACATGGATCCCAATAGCTGGGGTCCTTTTCCCACTGTTGATCATGCTTCTTGTTCCAGTGCGACAATATTTACTTCCTAAGTTTTTCAAAGCAGCCCATCTTCAAGACTTGGATGCTGCAGCATACGAGGAAGCTCCTGCAGTTGCTTATAATATGACATGTGAAGTAAGTTATCTAAATGCTTTTTTCGTTTCATCTAAGCTTAATTGCAAATCTGGTTGGAACTAGAAACAAATATTGGTTTTCCTAAATTCTTTTTGAAAAAAATAAATAAATAAAGACGAAGAAGAAAGGGAGATGTGATGCTCTTGCATTCTGCTATATAGTACTAGCAAGTCAGTATATAGTAATCAGTGTTAGGTGCATGTATATCTTTGCATTCATGTGTTTCTGGGGGATGGATATTGGCAAATTGGGGTTATCTTGAGGTAAATCATAGTTTGATTTAATGATTATTCATCTTTTTTAAATGATTTTAGAAGTTTGAAAAAATCAAGGATTTTGAGTCTAAGATCATGGGGCTACCCATGGCCAGGCCTATATAAGTTTATAACATTATTTTTTTGAATGCCTTTTGTAATTCACAGGATCAAACTCAATCTAGAACTACTGACATTGATGGTGGGGAAATTCTAGATGAAATTGTTACAAGAAGCCGTGGTGAGATCCGCCACATACAGAGTCCAAAAATTACCAGTTCATCTCCAACTCCACTTCAGAATATAAACCCTTCTTACAGTCCACGGGTGTCAGAGAGCATGTATAGCCCCCGTGTCAGAGAATTGAGGGGGAAACAGAGCCCCGGTTTGAGTGGAACAGGAATTGAAATAAAGCGTACTCCCAGTCCTGGACCATCTGGTCTTGGACAAAGCAGTCAAGGTTCACCTCCAGTCTAAAGTCATAAATGCAGAATTTGGTGTGTTTAAAAGTCAATGGTGCTCGAGAGGTCTTGTGTGTTTCAGTCATGTAACTAAGTTTTAGGTGTCTTGTTCCTCCTCTTCTAATCCTACCATGTTCTACTGTGACTTTTTCTTTTATCTCTCAAATAAACTGGGCAGAGGAAATATTTATCGAAATGAAAAAAATGTTTTATTATACTACCAAATGTTTGCTATCCCCTTAATCTATTATAATAAAGCTATTAAAAGAAACTGACCCACAAGAACACAAGTTCTCATTTGTTCTGTGAAAATACCTTTAGTTGGAGTTAAAGGTAAGGAACTTCCAGCTCATACAAACCTTTTCCAGTTTCATTCACTTCACTTGTTAGAGAGACAATGTTTCTGAATTGCACTCTCTTGAAGAATGTATTAGCATAAGATTGAAAGCTTAAACGATTATCTTGTGAAAGTTGCGTGGACAGACGTATTGGATATCAACTAATGTCTAAATGTGCTTCTGCTTTGCCTTCTTTTTCCTGGTTGTCATCAAGAATGTAAAATCTGTGGGACTGAGTCTAAGTGAGTTAGTGAAACTGATGAATAAACGGAGTCAACATGTGTCAATTTACAGTTGGGGGACAGGAAAAGAGAATAGCACTATCTCTCTTATCTACATCCACTCTCTTATCAAGATGCCCTCTTTTTCCTGGAAAAATTATAGTTGTTTGGAGAACGATGCTGATGAATTCATGTCTCTGAGGCTTAACTTTATCTTGATCTCCCATCTCCTTGACACTCACAAATTATAATGGTACAAAAGCCTATAGCTAGGTGCCAGCTTAATGTCCTTCGGTTTCTGACATATGAACCTTATTTCATTCTGAATTTAATCCTTCTTAATGATAAATCTTTCTTCATTCTTTAACAAATCAACTCCAGGGAAGCAACTTAATATTAAATGAAGGATTTTCAGTTTAGCCATAGCTGATACTGCCTTACTCTTCAACTTAACCAGTTTTTGGGATCAGTAAAGTGATGCTAAGATATGTAAAATATTCATAACTTGATCCTGATATCATTATCTTTTTATTTCTCTTGACCTAATTTCTGGATTTTCTAACTTTTTTAGTTCTTGTACCAATCTTTTTGAGGCTCCACTATGATGTCAGTGCTCAAATCTTGTGTGCACTAACAGGATCAATTGCCTAAAGATACAATAAAACTGATATGAAAATGACTAGCTTAGATTCATTTAGCAGCCATGCCCATGTCTGGGGTTACACATGAAAATGACTAGCTTAGATTCATTTAGCAGCCATGCCCATGTCTGGGGTTACACAAGCTAGTGGTAAGCTTACAATATATTCCACTCTCTCTATCCTACAATTAGCGGGGGCCCCAAATTCTGAGTTCCTTTGAATTCCTTTTTGATACGTCCTTGTCTTTCCACTGCCCATGTGATACTAATAAATATTGATATCCTACTTTGGGCCCAGGCGCCAAAAAAAGAAACTCAGATTTGAGAGCAAAGGACATATTTCCACTTGAGGATTAGTGAAATCTCAAGTTGATACCCCTTGTTACATTTATTCTAGAATCCCACCTCTAAAGTAACGTCATTTCTTTTATTTTAACAAATTTTCAACTTTTCACTATAACACGACACACGTTAACACGTTAAAGTGTGTCGACGCTATCTTTGGCAGAACTGGCTTATGTTAGTAAAAAATGGCTCACATTAGCAGCATCTAAGTCGACGGTTTTTAACTTTTTCCGGCTGATTCCAAAGTCTAACATTGAAATCTTCACAACCTCCTCTACAAAACTCATACATTCATTTGTCGACCTCACTCACTGATTTCGACCACCTCCAACAGTCACTAACAATGTTAGTTTAAATGTGAGAATATGGAATAAATATAATCATGGGTATCAACTTGAGATTTCACTAAACCTCGAATAGGAATATGTTTGATATTTTATTTTCATTTAGTTTCTTGACCTAAAAATGTGGTTATGTGAAGTCAGTAGAGGCGAGGACACTTTTAATGTTAACAGATTCCACATCTCCATTTGCATAAGCACTTATTCAGTCATAGACAGAAGTATACTCCATTCAAGACTGAATAATTCATATTAGTTTTTGATAATGTCAGCTTTCCTTTTGCTTAGGCCATCTCCAACCCATTACACCAATTTGGTGTAAAATTGTGCCAAATTTTGGTGCAAAATACTATTCCATCTCCAACCCACAACACCAAATATTACACCAAAAAGAATATTCTTTAGAATATTCTTTAAAATATATTTTTTTTTCTTTTATTGTAATAATCAACAATTAATCTATTTCACTCATTATTTTTTTATATATTAATTAAATATTGGGAATGATTTTTTTATTAAATAATAATTATTTTGAAAATTATACTAATTTAATAAAATGAAGCATTTATTTAATCAAATAAACATTACATTTAATATAGAAAAACATTACATCTAATATAAAATGATACAAAAAAAAAAAAACAACAACACAAAGGTAAAATTCCATATTTATAGTAATTTAATTTTTCGAATTAGTATGTTCTTCCTACAAATGATCAATTAATGCATTTCGAAGAGCATGGTAAGCCTCTGTATCCTTGATTTGTTTATGTCGAGCAAGAAAATTTGAATTCTATAACCGATCTAAGCCTACGTGAGTTTTTTCAAAATGAGCAATTAAGAATTATGCAAAAAAGAGCTCAACAACAAGGTCAATGATCTCAAAATAACTCTAGTTCTTTTCAATATTTTGATGATCTTACTGGATCCGAAACTAATTTACTGGAATGCTAAATTGTTATTTGAGTTTATGTTGTATTTTCTTTTAATTTTAGTGTTTTTAAATTAGTGTTAATTTTTATTTTGAGTTATTATAGTTTAATATTTGTATTGAATAAAGTTCTATTTTTAATTTTTCATCATTTTTTAAATTATATCATTATTATAAATAATAATCAAATTAAATTAAATACAAATACTCAAATTTGATGTGATTTTGGTGTATAATTTAATACTCAATTAACTTAACAAAATAAAAAAAAGCAAAAAAAAAATATATATATAATATATATATATATTTTTTCACACTACAGTGTTGCGCCATTTTCTAACCCACGCCAATTTAGTGTTTTTTGTGGAGATGCCCTTATGGTTTGCATTATTATTTAAAAGGAATAGCCCACTACAATACAACAGTAAACAATCTGGTGGGCAACTACAGAGTTCATTAATTTAGGCCCGTCACGTTTACTGTTTCGGTAATAAAATAGGAATTTTTAATATATTTAGATTCGAATCTTAATAAAATAGGAATTTGGAGCACACAGTTAAAAGTTTAATGGCTTTAAGGGATTCTTATGAAACCCCCCGATGTTTGACTAAAACCATAAACCCCCTGTGGTACTGATAATGACTTTCAACCCCCTATCGTCACTGTCTTTTTGTTAATTTAACCATAGAAAGAGTTAATGTCCTTAATGCCCTCACCTGCTATGCCCATCAATCGCAACCCACACTCTTTAATCTCACTTCATCTCTAGCAGCCCCCAACGCCCATTTTAGAGTGAAAAAATTATTAAATTATGCAAAATATCACAAATTTTAATAAGAAAATATAAAAAAAAAATTGAAAAAAAAAATCTGAAAAAATAAAAATGGAAAAAGAAATGGGGAAAATGAAAAGCATAAGAAATATATGAAAAAAATAACAATAAAATGATATAAAATTTGAAAAACTTTGTAAAAAGTTAAAAGTTAATACAAATATGAAAATTTAAAAAAAAAATTGAACTTGACAAATATTTTTTAGATTTTAGCTTCTTTTTTTTTTTTTAAATTTTTTTTTTTTTGGTTTTCGTAGTTTTTTTATTTTCAAGTATTCTTAATTTTTCAAAAATCTTTTGAAGTTTTTTAATCTTTTTTTATTTAGTATGTGTGTTTCTAGGTTAAGGATGCGTGGCATTTAAGTTTTTTTTTTTTTTTTCAATTTTATTAGTTATTTTACCTTTTTTATTTAAAAATGAGTTGTTAATAAAGTTTAGGGTAAATTAGTCAAGTTCAAAATATTATAATAGTAATTCATAATTGTATTGTGTCAAATTCAGTCAACTCCCATATTTGTTGGGATGTATGTAGTAGTTTCAAGAGTTGTAGGATAAAATAGTTACAAGTTTTAGGGTCTTTGTTAACCCTTAGTAATTATAAAAATGAGTTTACGACATGTTCCCACGCAAAAGATGCCCCATTGATAAATTCATACCCGTCAAAAGTTCGTTATTAGTGAGGGTTGAAAGGTCAACAAACATTTGGCTGTCAAAGAAGAGAAAAGAAAAAAGGGAAGGTGCACGTTAGCAAGAGATGGCGCACATTAGCAGCATCAAAGCAGGTGGTTTTTGTCATTTTCCGGCAAATTTCGACATCCAAAATCACTTCTGAGACTACCCACAGAATCCCTATCACCTTCTCTGCAAAGCCTAAGCCTCCATTTGTCGTCATCACTCACCATTTCCCACCACCACCTCCATTCACATGGCCAACTCTTCAAGCCTGATTTTCTATCTTTTTCGGTGTCGGAAATCACCGTGAAACTCATTGCCTCCTCCATTCTTTTCCCCGAGCCTCTCTCACCCTTAATCCGTTCACCTTGAGCCCAATGCACGTGCCAGTCGCTGCTTGAGTTTTTGCATAATTTCCCATCTTTCTAGCCTTTTTCCGACCAATTTAGTCACCCAAAATGCCTTTTGCCACCACCACGACTCCCCACCCTTTGCTTTTTCAAAACCCACCCCTCCCCCAAACCCTCCATATGTTAGAGTAGGTGCCCTAAAGTCAATCTATTATTGTGAGTTTGACTTTGTAATAAATTTTTATTTATCAATAAAAAGTCATATCCTTCATATATCGTGTAAATCATAGTTATATATAATGATATATATCCTTAGGATGGTAGAATTGTGATGAGAGTATCAAGTATTTCAAATCTTGACAGTGAGAACTCTATGATCACATATGGTGGCCATTCTAGAAATGTCCATAGCCTAGTATTATTTTGATCAAAGACACAGATAATACAGTAAGACTATCATAGCGTTGAACGACCCTGTCAAAAGGCAGTGACTGATCTCACTTGTCAAAGTTATTTAACGACAACCTAGTCCAACGCATAGGTGTTTGTTGGAGGCAAGTTCACTAGACAGACCCACCAGAGGATTCCATATGGATGGTAACCCCAATGTCTATGGAATAAATCCTCTAATGAATGATGGTGCATGTGATCCTTAGACTTGAGATCACTGGAGCGCCTTGTGCACCAATTGGTGTAGTTTGACAATAGCCCAACGTAGTTCTATTTAGAGCTATCAATATAGTAGTGATTAGCTGTATCAAGAAGTGTATTAAAACTATGGTAGATCGACAAAGGATTCATTACTCATGGGTACGGAGAAGTTATCTCATTGAGTAATTCAGTAAATGGAAATGACACTAAATCTGTGGCTACAGTGGGATTGAGTTGTTGCTCAATCCAGTTTAATATTCATGTCATTGGTCCAATAACTAAATACAAACATGTCGAGGATATCTGAGGTTGATACTATTTCTGTACTTCAGTCTCGATGAGATAACAATTGATGAAATGGTTTGATTACATGGTAACCATACCATTGACAGGTTACGGTTTTGTTGAATCTGAATCTATCGGGTGGCTATGATGCCTTGCTAGGGGCTAATCTTGGTCTGTGTATAGTGAGATGATTAATTGGTGTTAATCGCAATACTACACATTGCCGATATGATAAGGAGCCTACGGATCACACACTTAGAAGATAATTTAAGAATCAATTTGTGAGAAAGGTATTTTCGCCTTTCAGGATGAAATGGTATTTTGGTAATCTTGCAGTACAATTAAATTTGCTAAGGTTATTGTTTGTATTTAATTTGATATTAAAATTAAATTCATGAGATTATATTTAAATATATGTATGCATATATTTAAATGAATTGTTATTATTAATTAAATGTTAATATATTATTATATATTAATTGATTTTAATTATAATAATAATTAATTAATTTAAAATACCAATTACACGGTGTTTGGTTGCAAGAGCAAGCTTATGTTGGTGTCCATGGGTATTCCTTATTGGAATAGGGTTTTAATTAGTTGCACTATATAAGTGCAACTTAATTAAAACACAATGTATGCTTTTATAAAACAAAAACCCTAGCCACCCTATCTCTCGCTCTCTCTCACGTTTTCACTCTTTGAGTGCAAAAGAACTTTTTTCTTTTTCTTTGATTGTTTTTTATTTTTGAAGCTGGTAATTGTTCTAGCAAAACAATTGTCGGTTCTTCGGATTATCTTCATGTGGATTTCTGTGAGTGTAATCCTACATTGGATCGATTAGTGAACAGTGTCGGTGAACGGTAGTCAGTGAACAATAGTCGATGAATAGTGTTTGTGAGCGAAGTCAAAGATATTCGAAAAAGCTTCCAAACGTGGGTATAAACTAAATCCTTGTATAGATTTGTTTTTACACAGCTTTTATTTTACGTTTTAAGTTTATGCATGTGAACAATACAGTTTGTGCCTGAATTTTGAGATGTGTAAGTGACCCTTTTCGTTTGTATAATTACGTTTTTCCGTTGCGTGAATAGGGTCTCTTACCAACACCGTGCTCACCATTTGTCGGCCTTGTCCAACTCTTTCCATCGTGGGACAATCATGATTTGCGATGGTTTCCTCTGCAAATCATTGAGTTTTTAGTGCTCGATCAGTGCGTTTTAATTAGTTGTGTTGATGTTGTGTTTTTTCTAACCACCGTTCTCTCCCAGATCACTCCAACTTCGTTTCTCCAAAGTTGCTCACCACCTATCCAATTTATTGCTGCACCTAGCTGCTAGCTAGCAATGGAAGAGGCTAAGGGTATTTTTGTAAATTAATGTGTTTTCCACCCAAAACATAATATTTGGGTACTGAAATGATATTTAAAAAGAATGGGCCATTTTTTGGGTGGGAACATGTCGTTAACTCTTATAAAAATTTTGGTGCACTTTATTCTTTTACCCTTGATTCTGTTAAAACTAAATGACAGTGGGGGTTCAGAGTAATTACTAAATACCAGTACTATAGGGGGTTTAATTTGGCTAAACCTTGGGGAGCTTAATATCCTGGCTTTAATTTCTGGGCTACTGGATCAGGCCTGCAGCAATATAATGTTAAAATTGGGCCCATGCCATTGCTATGGACATAAAGCGAATGTACTGATTTAAAAAGGCAAGTTGGTGGAGGTAAGTGTACCATACGGTGCGTTTAGCTCAGACCAGACCAGACAAAAGAGTACGGGGAAAGCAGTTAAAAAGATGCGCGACACAGGGTCGTTGCAACTCATTTGTTCTCAAGATCTAAGCTCTACAGCCTATAGAGTCCAAGCCTATATACACGTAAACAAAAAATGAGGCCAGAAATAGTGTTATTTGGAGATTCAATAACAGAGCAGACTTTCAGATCAGGTGGTTGGGGTTCATCTCTTGCTGACACTTACTCTCGCAAGGTTCTACATTTCTTTAATGTTAAAATTTTCACTGATTTCTTCTTTATTTGCTGTTTCTAAAGATACCCAGTATCTATTTCCTAGTTTCTTCAACTGGGTTTTTTATCTGTTTTCTTGATTTATATAGGCTGATGTGTTAGTTCGTGGTTATGGTGGTTACAATACTAGATGGGCATTGTTCTTGTTACATCACATATTCCCTCTGGTAATTAATTATTCTTTTTCGTAGTCAATTCTAATTCAGGCTAAACGCCAAATGGGTTTGGTTTATTAGAGGCATTGGTTGTTTTAGTGGGTTTATTTTGAATCCAAGCAATTAATGCTCCTTTTTATTGTTGTAGGACAATAAAAAACCTCCAGCGGTCACCACAATTTTCTTTGGGGCTAATGATGCAGCCCTTCTTGGGAGAACGAGTGAAAGGCAGCATATTCCTGTGGAAGAGTACAAGGACAATCTCAGAAAAATAGTTCAGCATTTGAAGGTTCAAATATCGATCATTTGTAGATAATTATGCAATCTATTCATTTGATTGAGGTTTTTTAATTTATGTGCTTGTCCTTTACTAGATGCCCCATTTATTTGGGGTTAAACTTCTTGTCTCTGATGTACCCTGTCTTTGGTATCTTCTGACCAATACATTAAGTGCATTATATGATTGATGTCATCAATCCTGGATGCCTTCCATTCTTTAGTTCTTGTATTGATCAGTAATATCTTCTTTTGGCTCGTTTCAATGCTCTAATCCATTGCCATGAGTTGTTTATTTGGTGCAATAGTGCTCCCTATACACTTTATCTGGTTTCCAACAAGTATGATTTCAATTGCTAGATATATGTATCATTTTATATAGCGATTCTCTTTGCAGGAATGCTCCCCCACCATGCTAGTTGTGCTTATTACTCCACCACCAATCGATGAGGCAGGGCGTAAAGAATATGCACAGTATGATAGTTCTTCTCCTTATATTAGCAGCTTAATAGCTCTTACCGACATGAAACACAAACACCCACATGCACCCAGTCTATTGACCGAGCTACCCACTAGTTATAGATAGACAGTGAGAGGCAGCTATCCACTAATGATGGATAGTGAGAGGCAGATGCCTTCATATTACCAAGGTGGACTCAGAGCCTATTTATTTACTAATTTTGATAATAGTAATATCTTAAAATTTTGTATTTGGTGATTGGCTGTATAAATATTGGTAATAATAAAAAAGTGGAGAAGTTGTGATATATAATTTTTACTGGTTTTTTTTACCATGGAACTAGATGAAGATTCGAGATCTTATTTCTCTAATTTCATACTGTTGATAAGCCCCATTCATGTTAATAAATTCTGTTTGCCTCGTGTATTTGTTGTTGTTTCAAATTTTTTTCACTTTTGGTTTGCTACACATTGTTTGGATATCTTTTACTTTTTCTCCATTTGATATTTATAACTTGCTTTGATGTAATCTCTTTTACCCTTTATATGTACTAAAACAACCATGGTTTTTCCCTCTAAAAGCTAGATTCACACTGGAAAGAAGCACCTAATATTGTCCTTTGTTTAAGGTCTGGTTTCTTGGAAATCCATGGATTCACAGAAATTTGGTGTTGTTTGAATGAAAATGCTTAAAACCTAGACTTTAAAATAGTAAGGGATGTAGTAATCTATATCTGAAATTAGAACTTGGGAATAATAGTTTCGTTCTTTCATTTTTCTGCATTGTTGCTATTTGAGATCCTAGGCAGAAAATAATTATGATTGATACAGTTTCAAATATTGGCCTCCTGAGTCTGAAGACCCAAAATCTCAAACCTGAATTTTCAACAGTAAAATTTGTTACTGTGATATTATTACTGCGATATGTTGCTTATAAATTTGTAATGTGGTCTTGCAGTTCCATATATGGTGAGAAAGCTATGAAAGAGCCTGAAAGGACAAATGAAGTGGCAGGAGTTTATGCAAGACAGTGTGTTGAGCTGGCCAAGGACCTGGGAATCCCTGCCATTGATTTGTGGTCCAAAATGCAGGAAACAGAGGGTTGGCAGAAAAAATTCCTCAGGTTTGTGATATACAAAGCTTCTTCCAGAATTTATGGCTTTCTGAAAAAGTGAGTCAACCAGATTATTCTTAGTAAGGAGTATTTCCTTGTATTAACGAAGACTAGTCTAACTACTGCAATAGTCCGAATGAATTGAATGGAAGAAGCTTGTCGATTTTGATCTTTTATGGAAAAGGTGTCCTCAAATGATGAGGCTTTTGAATGGAAAAATTTCTCCTGGGGTTCCATTGGTGACAACCTAATATTTCTTATTATTACAGGGAAGAAACTGAAACTACTATAATCAGAATTTAGTTATGAGAATCAATTGCGATTATAACATTCGTTTTTTTAATTTATTTATTTATCTTTTCGACAACAGTGACGGGTTGCACCTGACGCCAGAAGGCAATGCAGTGGTTCACCAGGAGATGATTAATTGGTGTTAAAGCAATACTACACATTGCCGTATGATAAGGAGCCTAGATCACACACTTAGAAGATAATTTAAGAATCAATTGTGAGAAAGGTATTTTGCCTTTCAGATGAAATGGTATTTTGGTAATCTTGCAGTACAATTAAATTTGCTAAGGTTATTGTTTGTATTTAATTTGATATTAAAATTAATTCATGAGATATATATTAAATATATGTATGCATATATTTAAATGAATGTATTATTATAATTAAATGTTAATATATTATTATAATTAATTGATTTTATTATAATAATAATTATTAATTTAAAATACCAATTACACGGTGTTTGGTTGCAAGAGCAAGCTTTGGGGTGCCATGGGTATTCCTTATTGGAATAGGGTTTTAATTGTTGCACTATATAGTGCAACTAATTAAAACACAATGTATGCTTTTATAAACAAAAACCCTAGCCACCCTATCTCTCGCTCTCTCTCACGTTTTCACTCTTTGAGTGCAAAAGAACTTTTTTCTTTTCTTGATTGTTTTTTATTTTTGAAGCTGGAATTGTTCTAGCAAAACAATGTTCGGTTCTTGGATTATCTTCATGGATTTCTGTGAGTGTATCCTACTTGGATCGTTAGTGAACAGTTGCGTGTGAACGGTAGTCAGTGAACAATAGTCGATGATAGTGTTTGTGAGCGAAGTCCAAGATATTCGAAAAAGCTTCCAAACGTGGGGATAAAATAAATCCGTGATAGATTTGTTTTTACACAGGTATTTTCGTTTTAGTTTAGCATGTGAACAATACAGTTTGTCCTGAATTTTGAGATGTGTAAGTGACCCTTTTCGTTTGTATAATTACGTTTTTCCGTTGCGTGAATAGGGTCTCTTACCAACACCGTGCTCACATTTGTCGGCCTTGTCCCACTCTTTCCATCGTGGGACAATCATGATTTGCGATGGTTTCCTCTGCAAATCATTGAGTTTTTAGTGCTCGATCAGTGCGTTTAATTAGTTGTTGAGTGTGTTTTTTAACCACCGTTCTCTCCCAGTCACTCCAACTTCGTTTCTCCAAAGTTGCTCACCACCTATCCAATTATTGCTGCACTAGTGCTAGCTAGCAATGGAAGAGGCTAAGGGTATTTTTGTAAATTAATGTTGTTTACACCAAAACATAATATTTGGGTACTGAAATGATATTTAAAAGAATGGGCATTTTTTGGGTGGAATGTCGTTAACTCTATAAAAATTAGGTGCACTTTATCTTTTTACCCTTGATTCTGTTAAAACTAAATGACAGGGGGTTCAGAGTAATTACTAAATACCAGTACTATAGGGGGTTAATTTGGCTAAACCTTGGGGAGCTTAATATCCTGGCTTTAATTTCTGGGCTACTGGATCAGGCCTGCAGCAATATAATGTTAAATTGGGCCCATGCCATTGCTATGGACATAAAGCGAATGTACTGATTTAATAAGGCAAGTTGGTGGAGGTAAGTGTACCATACGGTGCGTTTAGCTCAGACCAGACCAGACAAAAGGCGGGACAAACAGTTAAAAAGACGGCGCGACACAGCATCTTTGCAACTCATTTGTTCTCAAGATCTAAGCTCTACAGCCTATAGAGTCCAAGCTATTACACGTAAACAAAAATGAGGCCAGAAATGTGTTATTTGGAGATTCAATAACAGAGCAGTCTTTCAGATCAGGTGAATTTCCCATCTTTCTAGCCTTTTTCCGACCAATTTTGTCACCCAAAATGGCCCTTGCCACCACCACGACTCCCCACCCTTTGCTTTTTCAAAACCCACCCCTCCCCCAAACCTCCATGTGTTAGAGTATGTGCCTTAAAGCCAATATATTATTGTGAGTTTGACTTTGTAATAAATGTTTATTTATCAATAAAAAAAGGCATATCCTTCTATATCGTGTAAATCATAGTTATATATAATGATATATGTCTTTAGGATGGTAAAACCGTGACGAGGGTATCAAGTGTTTCAAATCTTGATAGTGAGAACCCTATGATCACATATAGTGGCCATTCTAGAAATGTCCATAGCCTAGTATTATTCTAAGCAAGAACACAGATAATACGGTAAGACTATCATAGCGTTGAACGACCCTGTCGAAAGGTAGTGACTGATCTTACTTGTCAAAGTTGTTTGCCGACAACCTGGTGCAACACATGGGTGTTTGCTGGAGGCAAGTTCACTAGACAGACCCACCAGAGGATTTCATATGGACGGTAACCCCAGTGTCTATGGAATAAATCCTCTAATAAATGGTGGTGCATGTAATCCATAGACTTGAGATCACTGGAGCGCCTTGTGCAACGATTGGTGTAGTTTGACAATAGCCCAACGTAGTTCTATTCAGAGTTATCAATATAGTAGTGATTGGCTACATCAAGAAGTGTATCAAAACTATGGTGGATCGACAAAAGATTCATTACTCCTGGGTACAGGAGAATTTATCTCACTAGGTAATTCAGTAAATGGCAATGACACTAAATCTGTGGTCACAGTGGGATTGAGTTGTTGCTCAATCCAATTTAATATTCTTGTTATTGGTCCAGTAACTGAATACAAATATGTCGAGGATATTTGAGGTTGACACTATTTATGTACTTTAGTCTCGATGAGATAACAATTGATGAAAGAATTTGATTACACGGTAACCATACCGTTGACAGGTTGTGGTTTTGTTGAATCCGAATCTATTGGATGACCATGATGCCTTGCTAGGGGCCAATCTTGGTATGTGAATAGTGATGGCAATGGGCTGGGCCGGGACCGGGTACCCCTTGGCCCAGGCCCAAGCCCGACCTCATGACACAGGCCCAAGCCCGGCCCGAGCCCGCTACGGGTATGATAGGCAAAGCCCAAGCCCGGCCCGACGGGTTTTTTATAACCGTAGGCCCGGCCCAAGCCCGCCTTTTTTAATAATATTTATTTTTAAATATTAATAAATTTCAATTTTTTTATATTTTTTATTTTAGCAATAGTTTTTAAATATTAATTGAAGCTATTTCTGCAAAATTTAAGCAATAAGTGAGCAATTAAAACTCCATAATATTTGATTATACTAACTTTTCAACATGTACATAATATGTTACGGTAAAATCCACTTTTATAGTTGAACCAAAAACCATCTAACTCTTTAAAGACAATTTTAACATGTTAAACCTTCAATATGGGATGAAAATTGAGGTTAGGGTTTGGGAAAAAAGGATATATATATATATGTGTAGGATAATATTGTAATTAAAATTATAGTATAAGGGTAAATTAGTAAAATTAATACTAAAATTGGGACAGGCCGGGCCGGGCCTAAAGATATACCCATGCCCGGCCCGTATCCGAGGTCGGGCCTTAAAATCAAGCCCAGGCCCAAGCCCAAGCCCGCCAACCCGGGTAAAGCCCGCCCTTTCGGGCCGGGCGGGTACCGAAAATGTTGGGCCATTGCCATCTCTATCTGTGAATAGTGAGATATTAATTGGTGTTAATCGCAATACTACACATGCCGATATGATAAGGAGCCTAGGATCACACACTTAGAAATAATTTAAGAATCAATTTGTGAGAAAGGTATTTTCGTTTCAGATGAAATGGTATTTTGGTAATCTTGCAGTACAATTAAATTGTGAGGTTTGTTGTATTTAATTTGATATTAAAATTAAATTGAGATTATTTAAATAATATGATATATTTAAATGAATTGATTATTAATTAAATGTTAATATATTATATATTAATTGATTTTAATATAATAATAATTAATTAATTTAAAATACCAATTACAGGTGTTTGGTTGCAAGGACGCTTAGTTGGTGCCCTGGGTGTTCCTTATTGAATAGGGTTTTAAAGTTGCACTATATAAGTGCAACTTAATTAAAACACAATGTATGCTTTTATAAAACAAAAACCTAGCACCCTATCTCTCGCTTTCTCTCACGTTTTCACTCTTTGAGTGCAAAAGAAATTTTTTCTTTTTCTTTGATTGTTTTTTATTTGAAGCGAATTGTTCTAGCAAAACAATTGTCGTTCTTCGGATTATCTTCAGTGATTTCGTGAGTGGATCCTATTGGATCGATTAGTGAACAGTGCGTGTGAACATAGTGTGAACAATAGTGTGAATAGTGTTGTGAGCGAAGTCAAAGATATCCGAGCTCCAATGAACTAAATCCTTGTATGATTTGTTTTTACACAGCTTTTTTTACGCTTTAAGTTTTTGCATGTGAACAATACAATTGTGCTCAGATTTTGGATGTGTAAGTGACCCTTTTCGTTTGTATAATTACGTTTTTCCGTGCATGATTGGTCTTTACCAACATCGTACTCGCCATGATTTTGGGATGTGTAGTGACCCTTTTCGTTTGTATAATTACGTTTTCGTGCATGAATATGGTCTCTACCAACAGTGTACTACCATTTGTCACCTTGTCCAATCTTTCCACGTGGGAATCACGATTTGCGCGATCTCTACAAATCGTTGGGTTTTTGTGCTCGACAGTGCGTTTAATTGTGTGTTCTCTCCAGATCACTCCAACTTCGTTTCCCCAAAGTTGCTCACCACCTATTCATTTATCTGCACCTAGTCCAGCCAGCAATGAAGAGGCTAAGGGTATTTTTGTAAATTATGTGTTTTCACCCAAACTATATTTGGGTACTGAAATGATATTTAAAAAGAAGCAATGGGCCATTTTTGGGTGGGAACATGTCGTAACTCTCATAAAAATTTTGGTGCACTTTATTCTTTTACCCTTGATTCTGTTAAAACTAAATGACAGTGGGGGTTTAGAGAATTACTAATTGGCTAAACCTTGGGGGCTTAATTTCTGGCTTTAATTTCTGGGCTACTGGATCAGGCCTGCAGCAATATAATGTTAAAATGGGCCCATGCCATTGCTATGGACATAAGCGAATGTACTGTTTAAAAAGGCAAGTTGGTGGAGGTAAGTGTACCATACGGTGCGTTTAGCTCAGACCAGACCAGACAAAAGAGTACGGGGACAAACAGTTAAAAAGAGCGCGACACAGTCTTGCAATCATTTGTTCTCAATCTAAGCTCTACAGCCTATAGAGTCCAAGCCTATATACACGTAAACAAAAATGAGGCCAGAATAGTGTATTTGGAGATTCATAACAGAGCAGGCTTTCAGATTAGGTGGTTGGGGTTCATCTCTTGCTGACACTTACTCTCGCAAGGTTTACATTTCTTTAATGTTAAAATTTTCACTGATTTCTTCTTTATTTGCTGTTTCTAAAGATACCCAGTATCTATTTCCTAGTTTCTTCAAAGGGTTTTTATCTGTTTCTTGATTTATATAGGCTGATGTGTTAGTTCGTGGGATGGTGGGTTACAATACTAGATGGGCATTGTTCTGTACATCACATATTCCCTCTGGTAATTAATTATTCTTTTTCGTAGTCAATTCTAATTAGGCTAAACGCCTTATTAGAGGCATTGGTTGTTTTAGTGGGTTTATTTTGAATCCAAGCAATAATGCTCCTTTTTATTGTTGTAGGACAATAAAAACCTCCAGCGGTCACCACAATTTTCTTTGGGGCTAATGATGCAGCCCTTCTTGGGAGAACGAGTGAAAGGCCAATTCCGTGGAAGAGTACAAGGACAATCCAGAAAAATAGTTCAGCATTGAAGGTTCAAATATCGATCATTGTAGATAATTATGCAATCTATTCATTTGATTGAGGTTTTTTAATTTTGTGCTTTCCTTTACTAGATGCCCCATTTTTTTGGGGTTAAACTTTTTGTCTTGATGTCCCTGTCTTTGGTATCTTCTGACCAATACATTAAGTGCATTATATGATTGATGCATCTTGCTTCCATCTTTAGTTCTTGTATTGATCAGTAATATTTCTTTTGGCTCGTTTCAATGCTCTAATTCATTGCCATGAGTTGTTTATTTGGTGCAATAGTGCTCCCTATAAACTTTATCTGGTTTCCAACAAGTATGATTTCAATTGCTGATAATGTATCATTTTATATAGCGATCTCTTTGCAGGAATGCTCCACCATGCTTGTGCTTATTACTCCACCACCAATCGATGAGGCAGGGCGTAAAGAATATGCACAGTATGATAGTTCTTCTCCTTATATTAGCTGCTTAATAGTCTTACCGACATGAAACACCAACACCCACATGCACCCAGTCTATTGACCGAGCTACCCACTAGTTATAGATAGACAGTGAGAGCAGACATGAGATGAGAGGCAGATGCCTCATATTACAAGGTGGACCAGAGCCTATTTATTTACTAATTTTGATAATAGTAATATCTTAAAATTTTGTATTTGGTGATTGGCTGTATAATATTGGTAATAAAAAAGTGGAGAAGTTGTGATATATAATTTTTACTGGTTTTTTTACATGGAACTAGATGAAGATAGAATCTTATTCTCTAATTCATATGTGTTGATAAGCCCATTCATGTTAATAAATTCTGTTTGCCTCGTGTATTTGTGTTGTTGTTCAAATTTTTTCACTTTTGGTTTGCTACATTGTTTGGATATCTTTACTTTTTCTCCATTTGATATTATAACTGCTTTGATGTAATCTCTTTTACCCTTTATTGTACTAAAACACCATGGTTTTTCCCTCTAAAAGCTAGATTTACACTGGAAAGAGCACCTAATATTGTCCTTTGTTTAAGGTCTGGTTCTTGGAAATCCATGGATTCACGAAATTTGGTGTTGTTTGAATGAAAATGCTTACTAGACTTTAAATAGTAAGGGATGTAGTAATCTATATCTGAAATTAGAACTTGGGAATAATGTTTCGTTCTTTCATTTTCTGCATTGTTGCTATTTGAGACCTAGGCAGAAATAATTATGATTGATACAGTTTCAAATATTGGCCTCCTGAGTCTGAAGACCCAAAATCTCAAACCTGAATTTTCACAGTAAAATTTGTTACTGTGATATTATTACTGCGATATGTTGCTTATAAATTTGTAATGTGGTCTTGCAGTTCCATATATGGTGAGAAAGCTATGAAAGAGCCTGAAAGGACAAATGAAGTGGCAGGAGTTTATGCAAGACAGTGTGTTGAGCTGGCCAAGGACTGGGAATCCGCCATTGATTTGTGGTCCAAAATGCAGAAAACAGAGGTTGGCAGAAAAAATTCCTCAGGTTTGTGTGATATACAAAGCTTCTTCCAGAATTTATGGCTTTCTGAAAAGTGAGTAACCAGATTATTCTTAGTAAGGAGTATTTCCTTGTATTAACGAAACTAGTTAACTACTGCAATAGTCCGAATGAATTGAATGGAAGAAGCTTGTCGATTTTGATCTTTTAGGAAAAGGTGTCTCAAATGATGAGGCTTTTGAATGGAAAAATTTCCCTGGGGTTCCATTGGTGACAACCTAATATTTCTTATATTACAGGGAAGAAACTGAAACTACTTAATCAGAATTAGTTATTAGAATCCTTGCGATTAATGTTCGTTTTATTTATTTATTTATCTTTTCGACAACAGTGAGGGTTGCACCTACGCCAGAAGGCAATGCAGTGGTTCACCAAGAAGTTGTGAGAGTTTTGAAAGAAGCATGGTTTTCTCCTGAGCAAATGCCATATGATTTTCCTCACCATCAGTAATTGATGGAAAACACCCTGAGAAAGCTTTCCAACTGCAATGCTCTCAGAATTTCGTCAAGAAAGGCTTGGAAATTTGTTCTCTCGTTTAATTTTTCTATTTGATGAAAAGATTTGGAAATCATGGTAATGTTGTCCTGTATTATTCCACAATGAAAAAGTATTGGCCTTCTTGCTTTTTCTTTGATATTGATATGTACTTGTTGTTCTTGCCTAAAGCAACACAATTAAAGCTTTTGTATTTAACTCTGGTTAAAGAACAGGAAGTGCATAATTAAGGCTACAGCAAATACCAACAGTTACTCTGACCTTTTTCTTTTATTTATGTAGTCATAATTTATATTGAAATCTAACACGGTTAATTAATTGGTTTTTAATTCTCTAATACAAAAATTTTCAGTAAATTTATTTGTAATGTCCCTCTAAAGTTGAAGTAAATTTAATCCTGTCAGTTATAAATTTAGAATATTTAATTTTCGAGGACCGGAAATTAAATTATTTTAAATTGAAAAAAAGAAAAATAAATAAAAGCCAAAACCTTAACAAATGCAAGCTTGATGGTTATTAGTGTGAAGTGTGAAATGAGAAGGGACAGTGGCCGTAGGATTTACTCAAACTAAACGGTCATGATCAACGTGTTTAGTAAATGCATTTTCTTGCTCACATATTAAGGAACACAAAGGTGACAGTTTCAAAACGCTGAACAATTTTCTTCAATGCATGCTCTCATCTCATGGACCTCAAACAAAATCATGCTCCATTATTCTTCTCTGAAAATTACATGAAAACCCACATAAAAACTGAGATTCCTTTTGATGAAGGACCTTCTTCCAAAGGTTATCTTCAAGATTTTCACCATCTTGATCATCAGTTTCATGCAAATGGGTGTTCCTCAAATCCTATATTTGGAGTCCAGACTCCATGTTTCGACTCTCTAGATGCTTTCTCTGCACATGGTTACTTATCTTCAAACTTTGATTTTTATGAGTGTAAGCCGTTTGCTGATAATAATAATGGTGGACATGTTCAAGTCATGGACAATTTTCAAAGCGGAGGATACTTGGAGGATCATCATCAAATTATGAATCCCCTGGTTGATGTGACGGGATCCAATCAGAGCCACATGACGTTAAGTTTTCAAGAAATAAGGCCTGCGAATTTTGCAGTGTCAGATGAAGTCTCATGCGTAAGTGCAGATAATATTAGTAGTTACTATAAGAAATCTGGGATGAATAAGAATAATAGGCCATATCTTTCGACAAGAAGGACACTGAAAGTAGGGAAGAAGTACAATGTAGTGAAGGGGCAATGGACAATTGATGAAGACAGGTAAAGAGTTTCAGTTACTTATAATTAATTTATGCATGCTTGGCTTGAATCTTGGTTTCTTCTAATTTTGTTTTATGATGGTGTATTGATCATGCATACCCGTAGGCTCTTAATTAGACTGGTTGAACAGCATGGCATGAGAAAATGGTCTCATATCGCGCAGATGTTGCCTGGAAGAATAGGGAAGCAGTGTAGAGAGAGATGGCATAACCATTTGCGGCCTGATATCAAGGTTTGCATTATGTTTCTTTCTTCCTTTCTTCTTTTGACACAGATCACTGTGCCTACTTCTATAGTTATGATGATAATGATTTCATTATCTGGTATTATACATGGATAACATATTCGTTGCAGGCACCAATATGAATGGTATTGTAAACTTGAAAAGCTCGAATAACATCCATTGATATTGCATACCGTCTTGCCAGTCCATTGACACTTGCATTATTTTAAGCTTACCCTTTTATTTTTATTTTTATTTTTCTGTTTCCAACGTGTGCATGCAGAAGGATACTTGGAGCGAAGAGGAGGATAAGGCGTTGATAGAGGCGCATGCAGAGATAGGGAACAAATGGGCAGAAATTGCAAAGAGGTTGCCCGGAAGAACAGAAAACTCTATCAAAAACCATTGGAATGCAACCAAGAGAAGGCAATTCTCCAAGCGAAAATGTCGTTCAAAAAACCAGAGAGCCTCTCTTCTGCAAGACTATATTAAGACCTTAAATTTTACTTCAACCTCCACCAAACATCAGGCAAAAACTTCCTCCAGTATTAATAACAAAACCAAATTAGTATCAGACCAGACACCTGCTGATGATGCCTTCTGCCCGAGCGATCACTTGGTCCAAGATTTTGATTTTAACGAAGTCCCGGATTTTGATTTTGATGATGATAAGTTATTTGAAGAAAACTGTAGCATCGATTCTCTTATTGAGCAGATGCCTTGCGATCCTGTTGTTGATGATGATGATGATGATGAGAAAAGTTTTGAAATGGAGTTGCCGATATTAGATGTGGCTCCAGTTATGGAATCTCAAGTGAAGGAGGACCTGGATTTGGTGGAGATGATTGCTCAAGCTACTAATCTGTAAAGCCTGAGAAACCAGTATACATATAACAGCCGAAAATTGATAATTTAAAACATTTTAATTTCCCGGATGTTGTGATATTCAGTGTTCAAAAGAGAGGATAAAATAAAATAAATATTAATAATATTTGTAATAAAAGTAAAAGGCCGTGAATATTGTATGCAACGTTGCATTATGTGAATTTAACTTTATATTTATAAACATTAATTAGATATTTTATTTGATTTTTCTGTAATTAAGAATTAATAAAAGCTCTTAATTAAAAGAAATTTATGTAGAACGGTTTTCTGTTTCTTCTAGCAATATTTTAATAACCAACCCGGACTGACCGGTCAAACTGAATGTCAAAACTTTTAAAATTTAACAAATATACCTCTCAAAATTACGAAGTCTCTATAGGTTTGAAATTTAGTAAACACACCCCAAATACAAGTCTACAATCGACGGGTTGATGGTGACGACACCCCAAATTCAATCTCAATCATCCCTTGAGCCGATTCCCTAGAAAATCTACCCAAAATCTGATCGAGATCTCACCGACGTTGGCATCGACATTCTAGGTCAGATTTCACCGACATCGATGTCGACAACCCACCCCATCTCCCCTTTTCCTCTCGACCAAAACCCACCTCACCTCACCCCACCCCCGTTAGCCTAGCCAATTGCCTGAAAAAACCGATTGTTACTGTCGCCTATTTTTATTTTTTATTTTCGATCGATTTACTCATAAAAAATCAACATCCCAACCTTCACTTGGTCGTCGATCATCATCCCAAATTTTAAGATTTTGAGTGAATAAGAAAATTGTTAACCCGACCTGATAAAGCCCTCAAGTCCCAATTTAAGGCAGAGCAGGGCGAGCCAAGTTTTAAAACACTGTCTTCTAGATTAACCTTGCAAAATTGAACCCAACAAATTAAAATCTAACGTAACTACAGCCATCTGACCAAGCAACATATATCTTGCAGGGAAAGCCGAAAGGGTTTCGAAGCAATGCAAAAGGCTCATTCAATCTAAAACTTAACTAAATATAAATTGCAAAGCATAATAAGGTAAAAATCAACCGACTTTACCCTGCAACACATTCCATTAATATCCACAACTCGTCGCCTTATGCGGGAATAATGTAATATATAAAGAATGACCAAATTGCATTTCACATGCACAACGTTAACCAAAGGAATCCCAATGAAGCTAAAACTAGAAAGACAACACAAAGGTTTACAGAGTAGCTCTCATTTACTCTCCGTATAACTGTTGGCAGTATCACCCAAATGAAGAAAGGGGAAGAAAAAGGAAGATTACAAACCAAAATGGCTAATTAAGTTCCTGACCTCAACTACAAAACATGTGTTCAAATTAATGATGACCCAATTTACCCTCAAAATTTTCCCCAGCAAATTTTCAAGCAGCCTTTGGCTTTGCCTTAATACGCTTCACCCTTGAATACAAGAAAACTCCAGCAAGAGCTATCCCCGTGCCTGCATCAAACTCAGGAAAAATTAATTTCTGTAACTCAAAAGAGAAGACTGTAGTATATTAGAACTGACATGAATCAGGGGAAAATAAATAAATAAATAAAGTACAACTCAAATAAGACTAGTTTACCAAGAGCATTGATTGGCGAGACAGGAGTTTTGAAGACAATAACAGAGCTCACAATGACCACCACCCGCTTCACACAATTGCCAACAGAATGGGTAACTGGAGATACCCTCTGTAATATCATATATGAAACCTGCACAGTTTTATCATATTTTTCAGAAAATAAGTGTGATGTATGTGTTAAAATGTGGGTTTGAAAGAAGCCAAGGCTCTCAGCATTCATGAACAAGCCCTGCTATCTTTGTCTCTCATGGATGCACAAATTCATACGCAAAAGTTTCAAATATAAAAGATGCTTCAACTTTCAAGTAATACAAAGCTGTAGTTTAAAAACTTATAAATTACCAAACTGAATAACTATAATATTGAAATCTAAGGTTCGATCAAGGCCACACAATCAAAAATTTAAAATATGAGCAATCCAAACCAACATGTATGTAAAACATATAACAAGGTATCCATATAGAATGTCTTCAAAAACCTGTAGTGTAGTATAATCCAAATTATATCCAAAACATGGGTATTTTCAATAAGATCCAGCAAATAAAATAACTACAGAAAAGCAGCAATTGTTTCTCAACCATAAAAATTGAATTTAACCCATCTTGAGACAAGCAACTGAATACTCATAAGAAGCAATTGTTTCTCAACTCTATGTCAATTGTTTAATGCCAAGAGAAATAATTACCTAATAATTAAACAACATACTTAATACGGAATGTTAAAATGAAACTTAAAATGGAATACAAGAAATAATGACTCCAGGGAAGGCACAGAACTGAAAGAAATTAAAAATGATCACCTGCTGATAAGCATGGAAACAGAGTGCAGCAATAAGAGACCTTGTGGCTATTACTTTAACATCCAATCCCTGTCACACAAGATTAGACATATAGTAAACAAATACCAACTCAGATAAATCACATTTCTAGTAAAACAAGAATCTTTTTATCTATAGCAAGTTTTGTTACAAGATGGAAACTTACAGCAGATTGTAGGTATGCAGGGGTAAACTTGACACCTTCCATGAACACTGCCACAGGAGCTAACAGGAGGAAAGACATGATTGTTATTATTGAGAAAAGAGTAATGTTGTCCAGAGAATCCTGTAAGAAAAACAGACCCAATGGTTATGCAATATTCCAAACAAAAAGGATTGTAAAAAGACACATTCACATTTGCAACTGACTTCTCAAACTGGTTTAAAAAAGATTCGAAAGTAATGCCACCACGACCACCAAAACCATGCCAAAGAAAAGGTATAAATCAGGACAATGCACATTACCTCTTTCTTAACCATGACCTTTTTGCTAAGAACATTACGAGACTGGTTTGTCAAATTGGAAGCCATTGCACTCCAAAAACCAGCCCTATTCATGAAAAAAGGAAAAAAAAATGTCATCAATCATCGTTGAGAACATTGATTATTATACCAAGATCAGGAATGGAATCATAGTTATAAAGTATACTTAAAGTGCAACAACATCCTCTGGCTTATTTTTGGCATCAATATTTAAACACTGTAGGAATATGTGGTATAGTTTCTTACCAATTAAAAGAGACCTCCGTGACTGAAGCAAGTGCCACTCCACCAACAATTGGTACAAGAGAAGAAACCACCCAGAGAGTAGGCAACTGCATCAGCATGAAGACAAGAGCTAGAGTCAGCAGCGAACAATCAGAAATAACAAATAAGAAAATGTGGATTCATTTTCCCAGCATATATCCACACGCAGCATATATCCACACGCATTAATACTTATTGATGAATTAGATCCACAACAGCTTCACGAGGCAAAAACAATAACTAGCAACTTAAAGTGAAACAGATCCATATCAATTTAATCTCCATCGATCATATCCAGGTGATTTAAATAAATCACAATAGAGCAAAATTGAGCTAAAAAAGGAAAAACAAACCTCCCCTAGAAACATAGCAGAAAGGACAACAGAGAAGAAAGGCTCCATAGCTTTAATTGTGTGAGTGAACGAAACAGCCACTTTCCCAAGACTCATGTTCGTAAATAGGTTGCCCAAAGTGTGCACCACTGCAAGTGGCAAAATTACTGCAAGCTGAAAAGCGAACAGAGCCCACAATCAGCATCACTCCCGAAAATCTTAAAATAATAATAATAATAGAAACAATGAAGAAAAACGGCAGAAAAAAGACCTGAGCGCCGCTAACTTTTGGCTTTTTATAGAGGTTCAAAGTCCACATAAGCAAAACCAAAACAGTCCCAACAGCAAATTGAATCACTGTTACGGTGACTGGGAAGTGGTAGACCTTCAAAACCTGTGAAAATTAAGCATTATTAAGTATTCACTTCGGAATTGCAACATACGAATCGGTATCCTAAATTCTCCTAATATTCAAATTTCTGAATCTCAATATTATAAAAAAAAACAAAAAAAATTGAACAAAAAATAAGAAAACGAACCTGCTTGTTGTAGATATTGAAGTAGATATTAAACAGGAACCACAAACCAAACAGCAATCCAAGTTCCAAGGTCTTCACCAAGCTAGACTTCTCTTCCTCACCACCAGCACTCTCGGGGACAGCCGTAGCCTTGACTTCGAAACGACTAGTCGTTTCCGGATCGCGAGCGGGGACGGAGGTCCATGGCCTGAACATGGAAGTATTACAGGAGGACAAGGACCACGATCGACGCAGAGGGAGCGAGGGAGACGACGAAGCGACATTGCTAGAAAGGGAGAGATCATGTCGTTTGGAAGAGCAGAGGAGAGGCTCGAATCTAGGGCTCGGCGAAACGCTCTTCCGCGGCTTGAGGAGCGGGAGCGACGGCGAGACCCCGGTGAAGGCGGCGGCGCTTTGCATTTTGAAGATCTGAAAATTTAAAGCGCGAAGGAAACGGCTAGAGAGAGAGGGAGGAAGAGAGAAAAAAAAATGTATTTGTGTGCGTGATTTTAGAGAGACGGGAGGGCGTTGAAGAGTCCGCCCACCGGCAAGGTTGGTGTAACAGCAAGTGGTACTTTGAAATGTAGTGCACTGTAATGACAAAAAATCTATATACAGTATATATAATTTAAAATAAATACGGAGAAAGAATATCGGAGAAGGTTTTGGTGGATATTCTAAAATGTGATAGGTGGGGAAAATATCATGTGACGGCCACCGTACCGTTATGATTACGTTACTGAAATGTGATTATATCTGGAATAAATAATAATTATTACCTAAAAGTAATACTCAAGTGTTTGAAGAATTCTTCTTAAATTCAAAATACCTTTTGTCTTATAATTAGTAGAATTATTCCAGTTTTTTCTTATGATTATGTTAATTTTTTTATGTAATTAATAATTTAATAAGGATTTAAGCGTTACTTTTAGATGTTACTGGATCTAAAAAGCGGACTGAATCTCAGGGATCAAAAGTAATTAAATAATGTTCAGATTACAAAAAAGCCCTTAGATATTCCTGAATATGACATAATTGGGTGTCTTTAAGCTGGACTATAGTAGATGGAAGTTTTGACCAATGAAAGGTGGGGAATGGTCAAGTGTATTGAGACGTGATTACAGTACCATGCTGAGTGAGGAATTGATATTTTATTTAACGAAGGAAAGTGTAATATTAATAATGGGAAATGGGTGGTGGGTAGGTGAGAAATTCAGATGAAATCGGAATTGAAGAATTAGGTCAAGTGGGATCTGAGGTTTGAATTTGACACGATGGTGGGTGGGATTCTCTTATATTAACAACTCAATTCATATTTTACTTACGATTGTAAAATTATTGGAATATGTGATGGGATCATGTGTTGGATCTTCGAATAATTGATAGTGATTGTGCATTTATCAAATGTTTTTCAACATGTATTCATTGTTCTAATTTGAGCATTCTTTGTTTACGAGTAACGAATTCTAGGTGCTGGCCTTTTTAGCCTATAGCTTTGACATGCAGATGTAATTTAATAAACATTTTATTTTCATGTTTTTGTTTCTTAATACACATATTATTCGTCATTTAGATTCTTAGACAATACAGATTATTGTGTGAGAACATACGACAAGCTCGCAATGAGTGGATGGATCAAGGTTGCTTAAGCGAGCTATGACTTTTAGTGGATATCGAGTTGTGTTTGGGTACGAGCATTCTCAGAGTGAGCTAACTAGACAGTTGTCTCACAGATCACAGATGAGCATGAGCCTTACCCCTGAAATCAAGGAGATACTTTCGACATCTTATCATGGAATTTTGTTGATCACGTCAATCATGGGATTAACTGCCTATGTTTAAGCCGCAATCTCTAAAATCATTTCATTATTAATTTCATGTATAAATACCCTTAAAAAACTCATGATAAGGGATTAGCAAATTTAGAGAAAAAAAAAAAAAGAGTTCTTATTCTTGTAATTATTCATATTCAATACAAGAACATGTTCAAAATAAAATGCTTTTCGCACGTAGGCTTGAGAGTTAGCTGGTCAAACTACTTTAAAGTGTTTTTGTCCTTTAATTTCATTTTCCTGCCTGATTATTACAATCAAACATTAATCCGTTATGATTCCATCAAAGTCAATCGGATCCCTCAAGTTGGTGTGATTTTTCGTATCAACACATATTATTGTTCATTATGGATTATTTGTTCACTAGGGATAGTTATTACCTTTCTATTTTCCTTTTCAAATAAATTAAATTGAAATGGTTCAAGTTTTTCTCTATTTGGAATCGTAAATTATTTGAGTTTATTGATACATGAGACAGAACTGAGTTTATTATATTAAGTTTTAATATTTTATTATACAAAATTTTACTTAAAAAGAATTTTATAAGAAGAGGGCTGTAAAACGAGTTTATTTTAAAATGCAAGCCCAGGCCGAGCCTATAGGCTATAGGGCATCGGGCGATTTTGGTTGATATGATGAGGGGGTATTTTGATAGTCCATAGGGGTTATGGGTAATTTTTCATTATGAATTGAAAGGTAGATAGAGACTACAATAGTTATGGTAATTTTACCCAACTTTGTATAATATACCTAAAAAGCTCGGGTCTAGGTGTTACGTATGCCCGGGCAGAGTTCTTTTCACATCCCTAAACAGGAAGCATTTATCCGTCTGTCTGGCTAATGTCAATATCACAACAATAAAGATAGGTAGACAATCTTTTTTCACTAACTTTCTCTCACAAATATGACATGACAGCTCGCAATTGGTCAAGTGAGACCCATTGTTGAACAGACATGACCCCTTGCAAGCTGACCAATTCCAAGCTGTCACGTCACATTTGTGAGAAAAAATTAGTAAGAAGGGTTCGTGAGTGTAGTATTATCCATATCACAATGCATGCTGCAGCCTGGCTATTCATTCTCCTAATCCACTGTATATTTTTTGCAAATGGAAAACTAAAAATAACTCTGAATATTATAACAAATAATCTTAATTGTGAGCCGTGTTATCAACATGCTTCATTAAAAAAAAAAAAAAATCGTTTAAATCCATCTCATTAAAATCTCCATGCATAATTCACACATTTAGTGGTCATATTAACATTATAATTTAAACAAATTTCTTCCCTTTTTGGGGTAATCACAACAACTGCAAGTGCTTAGATACATGCACTCTCAAGACATGTATACTTGAACACTTGCAGTCTTCATTGCCTTGCAGATAAGGCAAATCTCAATAAACCCTTCACAGTCTTTACATAAACATAAATGTCTACATGGCAAAAGCAAGATCGACACTTCATGTACCTTACAAGCTCTGCAACTTGTCTGCTTCATCGTGGGGGTCAAATTTCCTGAACCATCGACAATATGGTTCACATTAGTGTGAGAGGCAACATCATCGACCTCATTATCCCCACAACCTTCTTTACCATGCATAGCACCTTCTACCCTTGCCTGCTTCAGATTGTTCTTCATCACATTAATTACAGACTCATTATACTTTGCTCTGTAGTGCCATGATTGAACTTCCATACTAGCTTGCTTTATTCTATCCACTAGTTCCTAGTTCTTGTTGTTTATGTTCTCAATTTCAAGCTCCTTTTCGTGTAACTTTCTTTCAATTCCTCTTTCTATGGCATTGAGAAATGAATATGTGTGTCTCTGCTTTAGTTCTCTAACCCCTTTCACGGTATTCTCTTCCTGTATGAAACACACCAATCAAAAAAGTTTGGGATAAATATTAGAGATCAAACTACAACATCAACTCTATCCAAAAGAAATTATTACTAATTACGCATTTAGCAGGTTAAGATGAAAGCAAAGGTGCCATATTCAATTATCTCATATTTGACAAATTGAAAAACGTCTCACTCCCATGCTTGTTCATAAGACTGCATTCATTTCATTGGAGGAAACAAGGCAGATATTATCTCTTTTCATACTATCTTACTTGTACCTTTTTCATTTGGATCCAATATGAGAGTGGAAGGGAGTGTTCCATAAGATAATGGTTAAATAAAAAAGATAATGATAAAAATTTTATGGCCACATGTGAACATAAGAGAAAGTGACTAAGAGAGTGTATTAGAGATTGTCCTTGGCATTTATCTTCCCTATAAAAGGTGATTTTCCTCAAAATGTTGACTATACTAAGATGAAATGTTCCTTCAAATTAGTCAGGACATATTCTCATTAGTTAACATATCATAAAAGTCACATTGTCAAATGTAAATGTTGATTCTCTTTAGTCACAAATCTCTGAGGAGCAAAGGAAAAAAAAAATATGAGCATCAAAATTTTCCTTCCAAGGCTTAGATATTCAAAAGATGTTGGTTGAGTGATAGAAACCTGTCTACCAGCAGTTATAATAAATGGAATCGAATTCTCACCTAAAGTCTAATGTAGTGATCCAATTCTTCCTTTTGACGGTCAATCTCAACCTTAAGATTATCCCCAAGGGACAACATAGGGATGGTACATATCACGTTATCACAAGCAGAAGTAACAGAAGAATTGTGTTCATCTTCCTCATACGAAAGTCTCAAACCAGTTGAGACAGGGTTTGGATGCAGAACACAACCAGGCTGACTAGATTCATCTTTATGAAAGTTATCTTTTAAAGACACACGATGCTTTTACTGTCTGGAAATAGATTCCACCTCTTTGCTTCTTTTCAACTGTTGGTCCATAGTAGTTGCACGCTCATTTCCCACATAGTTTAAGGGACCAACACTACACCCAACTGTAACAGTCACAAATTGCAACTTCATTTGAGAACACTTGAGAGAAGGAACAAATATACATTGTAATTAACAAAGTGAAAGCAACTATATTCAAGGCCAACATTGTAACAATTGCAGCTAGAAAACAACACAAATTGACTATGAATGCAATCATTGTAAGAACGAGCAGGAGGATTAGATGATTAATACTCCATGGAAAGGGAAAAATTAAGGAGAGTAGAGGCAAGCAGAAAAAGAATGTTTCCTCTGTTCATGCCAAATTCCTAATTAATTATATGATAACAGAAGGTATCCAACATTCTATTAATTCATGAATTGCTACATTTCATTTAGCTTTTTTAGGTCATCTGTTGATAGAGATATACTGAAAATGTAGTGACAATGTCGCATGCATTACTCCTATTGAAACACCATGACGAATAAGAAGAAAATAATCCATTAACATGACATCAATTTTTANATGTAAATGTTGATTCTCTTTAGTCACAAATCTCTGAGGAGCAAAGGAAAAAAAAAATATGAGCATCAAAATTTTCCTTCCAAGGCTTAGATATTCAAAAGATGTTGGTTGAGTGATAGAAACCTGTCTACCAGCAGTTATAATAAATGGAATCGAATTCTCACCTAAAGTCTAATGTAGTGATCCAATTCTTCCTTTTGACGGTCAATCTCAACCTTAAGATTATCCCCAAGGGACAACATAGGGATGGTACATATCACGTTATCACAAGCAGAAGTAACAGAAGAATTGTGTTCATCTTCCTCATACGAAAGTCTCAAACCAGTTGAGACAGGGTTTGGATGCAGAACACAACCAGGCTGACTAGATTCATCTTTATGAAAGTTATCTTTTAAAGACACACGATGCTTTTACTGTCTGGAAATAGATTCCACCTCTTTGCTTCTTTTCAACTGTTGGTCCATAGTAGTTGCACGCTCATTTCCCACATAGTTTAAGGGACCAACACTACACCCAACTGTAACAGTCACAAATTGCAACTTCATTTGAGAACACTTGAGAGAAGGAACAAATATACATTGTAATTAACAAAGTGAAAGCAACTATATTCAAGGCCAACATTGTAACAATTGCAGCTAGAAAACAACACAAATTGACTATGAATGCAATCATTGTAAGAACGAGCAGGAGGATTAGATGATTAATACTCCATGGAAAGGGAAAAATTAAGGAGAGTAGAGGCAAGCAGAAAAAGAATGTTTCCTCTGTTCATGCCAAATTCCTAATTAATTATATGATAACAGAAGGTATCCAACATTCTATTAATTCATGAATTGCTACATTTCATTTAGCTTTTTTAGGTCATCTGTTGATAGAGATATACTGAAAATGTAGTGACAATGTCGCATGCATTACTCCTATTGAAACACCATGACGAATAAGAAGAAAATAATCCATTAACATGACATCAATTTTTAAACTTGTTCAATGTCTACCACTCAACACCCATTACAAGATTTAGGATTCACAAAATTAACCATTGGATTCTATTCTCTAGTCATATACACAGTGCACTCCCCAAGTTAAAATTTTTCAAAGATCTGAAACTAGCTGATCAAAATTGTAGCAAATTTCCAAGTTCATTATATACAAAAATGCGAGTCTATGGATTATATAGCTACAAATATCAAGTTAAACTAAGAAAAAAACTTCACACCTGGTTTAGAACAATGAATATCCAATCAATAAAATCATTTTTAAAGGATGCATGACAAGCTTTACACAGATTGATGAAAAAGATTCTAGAAAGGAACCATAAATGGTAGTGAAAACTCACCATCTCCAAATAACTGAAGCTGAGGCAATGCATTAGCATTATACTGGAACCGGTTCTCCCCAACAAAAACAAGGAGCATCGGATTTTACTATCGCCTCCAAACATATTCCTAACAATACCCAACACAAAAAATAAATAAATAAATAAATAAATAAATTATCATTTCATTTTCATCCTCTAATGTAATCATTAATCAATGGATCTTTGAGTGATTGAGTACCTGGTATTGATGATATTAGAGGGTAGAGCGATCTGAAGACACCAAACAAAAAATGAAAAAAGAAGAAATGGGCTAAGCAGAAAGACAAAGAAACACCGTCGGTATTAATGAAGCAAAGGTGTCGGTTTAGTTGTTGTAGACTAGTCAATGGGAGGGATGATGTTGATAATGGTGTTGAAAAAAGAAAAGGGTTTCTAGTGGTTAAAAAGAGAAGGCGTGATTCCATTTGTACCATCACTTGTTGTTGGTGTGGTGGTGGTGTAGTTGTTGTCTTGTTGGTGCTGGTGTTGGTGTTCACCTCCTCAGCTTCTGTTTCTTTTTCTTTGTCATAAGTAATTAAAATTTTCATTGGTTTAGTGATAATCTTGACCTTGACTGTTTTGGTTATGGAGTTTGATTCATTGAATTAGTCAGATTGGTTAAAATTAAATTAAATTTGTCAAAGGGGATTAAAATTAGATGAGCTAAATTTGTTTGATGGGTTTTAAATATAATATTTTTTTTATTTATGGATGAGAAAGAAAAGAATGTGATGTTTACTTTTTTTTTGTTTCAAGAATCTTTAAAAGAGATTGGATTTTGGTTGATTCGATGCCATTTCCATTGCCTTCTACTGCAATATTAATAAATATTTATTTTCTTATATTGGAAGTTGTTTCAAGAACTATGGCTCCGTTTGGTTCGTTTTTGGAAATACTATTATTAGTATTCCCAAAAAAGTTAAACAGTAAAATGACATTATTCCCAAAATATTATTTTATATTTTTTAATTTCTTTTAAACCTCCTAAATTTATTAATTTAACTAAACACCCTCAAATATTTTTTTTAGAAATTACAAAAACACTCTGGCCACTCTCCGGCGATGGTGGCCGGCTATTCGTATTTAATGGGTGGATTGGGGGTGTTTTTGTTAACTTTTAATATTTTATTATAGGGGTGTTTAGTAAATAAATAAACATATGAGATGTTTTTGTTAATTTTCAAATCCTACATCGTAATATCCGCCCAATTTAACTTTTTTCAAAAAACTATTCTAAAAACTATAGAAGAATGAACCAAACAGACCCTATGTATTTATTTATTTTTTCAACTTTTTCTTATTGTTAAAGGTAAATAATAAGATTTAACGGCTTTTTTTTTACCCAAATAATGATTTAATGATACTTTTTCATTAATAGATTTTTAAAATACTACTTTATTATCTAAATTTATATTCTGACAGCAAATAAAGAACAAACTCATTCTAGGCCATTAGGCCTTTTGAAAAAGAGAGACCGATGAGCTTTTGGTGGTAGAAGGTTAGATTTTGGTGGTCGGTATTGATCAGAATTTGACTTGTGAGAGGCAGTTGTATAAACCTTAATCGCTCGCTTTGAGGGGTTTTGGTGAGTAATAATTAGTGAAAAGAATAGTGGCGATGTGAGGTCGTAACGATACTACAATCAGAAACAGAACATAAATTTTGATAGTAGAGTAGTATTTTAAAAATCTTTGGGTGAAAAAGTGTCATTAAACCATTTTTTGAGTGGGAAAAAAGTCATTTACTCTAAATAATAATTAATCAAATTTTATGATAAATCCTGGCATTGAAGTTCATTCCATGGTATAGTTAAAATCTTGATCCCAAATGTAAACAATAAATTGTTCAAAATTCAATAAAGGTTATTTAAACCAACAAACAAATTTAGATCGAAAAGTATGAGTTGGAAATGTTTGTTGTTTGGTATTAGATCACCGAAACTGCAAGTATGCAACCAACATGATTTATATTACTAGAAAACCAATCAATCTTTACTTTAAATTTATATGATGCTTCTTGGGAAATGAAAAGTGTTATAGATGAAGAAGAGTTGCATGTGAAGGGGTGAGGTGGGGAAGACTAACCAATCAATCAATCAAGGGAGAATGAAAATTTCCCACCCAAATTTGGCCAAACGACACTTTCCTAACCATTGTTAAGATCCGTAAGTAAAATCCGTAAACTAACATGGTATAAGCAGTATATAGACAAAAATACAATTTCTTCTTCTATTTTCTTCTTTCTCCTTCGCCACCTCTATTCTTTCACCTTCTTTTATCTTCTCCTTCTCTTTTTCTCCTCATTCCCTTCTCCAAGACCCTATTAGCCCAAACATTGGCGGTCCGATCTGGCCGCCTCTTGCCCAGATCATGTCGGTCTTAGTTGGCCGCGACTTGCCTAAATCATGCTAGCATGATGTGGCCAAGCAACAGCCAGATCGTGGTTGCTCAATTTGGGCAAACATCAATTTTTTAATTCATTTTCTTATGATTTATTTTTTCAATTTTGGGATAATAGATCCTATGAGTTTTAAGTTGTGTTTTGACATTTTTTAGAGTTTGAACATGGTTAAATCTTTGATTTGGTAAGTTGTTAAAGATTTGGCTGTGGAAAAAAAATTGAGATGAGTTGTTGAATATTTGGTGATCAAGATTTTCGTTTGTGAATGGGGGATTGGGATAGGGTTTGGCTACTGCAAAAAAACTGGTAATTTCGAGTTTGAGGTGGAGGAGGAGGCGTTAAAGGTGGTTCTAGTAAAGGTGGAGGCTTTGGAGTTGGTAGCAGCATTGGAGGTGGTATTGGCTGTGGTGGTGGTTCTGGCCATGAAGCAGGCTTTGGTACTGGAGGAGGTGTGGGTGGTGGTGTTGATGGTGGTGTTCGAGGAGGTGGTGATGGTGATGAGGGTGGAGGTGAAAGAGCTAGGGGTGGATTAGGTGGAGGATCTAGACATGGGGGTGGCTTTGGCGTTGGTGGGGGTGGGGGTGTAGGAGGCGAAGCTAATGGACGCATAGGTGGCGGAGGAGTAATTGGAGGCAGGGGTGGAGGAATAGGTGGGGGTTCAGGTCATGTTGGCGGGTTTGGAGCCGGTGGAGGTGTAAAAGGAAGTGTAGGTGTAAGTGGTGGTGCTGGAGGAAGAGCAACATATGGTATTGGGGGAGGGCATGGACTTGGTGGTGGAGGTGGAATTGGGAAAGGCATTAGAGTAATTTACCATTCTATCATTCTTCATTTAAAATTAACGAAAAGCTCTTAACGACGGGTGGAAAACATGTCATTTTGAAACTTTTCAGGTGGAAAAGTGTCGTTTGGCCAAACCTTGGGTGGAAAATTGTCAATCTCTCATCAATCAAAATAATAAAAGAAAGGAAGAAACATAGAAAGTGGGAGAAAAGGAACAATGAGTTTTAAATGTGATACAGAATGTAATTGGTACATAGGGTTGTGACCATTGTGTTGTTCTATGGGCATAACCTCACATCCCCATGTGCGTTCCATTACTCCTTGTTTCAGACTCACGTTATGACACTCACAACTCACCATTATATCACCATTGAACCCAGAGAGTAGTTTATCTGACCATAACTTGTTTTGCAGGGGAAAAAAAGAAGCACTTACCAGATTTACCTTAACTCGAATACAAGAACATATTGCCGATTGATAGATCGAGTACTTAAAGTTATCATCCAAGTAAATATTATAACTTAAAACTTGAATTAGGACGTCTTGGCGCCCTATATTAACACCAAATACAGTAAAACCTCTTTATAATCATAACGATGGGACTAATTAATTTTATTACTATAAAGAGGTTATAACTTAATGGAAATGTAGTTACAAAAATTATAGTTTTGATTTTTTATTTTTTAATTCATGTTTTAGTAGTATAGTATTATGATTTCAATTCAGCGCTTCAATTGCATATTTTTGAAATGGATAGAAGACCGTGTCTTGGAACCAGCAAAGATAAGTGTCATTAATGGAACTATAAATGCAGTTAATGCATAGTCAATTGATGTAAAGCCACAGACAATTGTCAATGGTTTTAAGCATTGCAAAATTAGGACCCATGATTTCGATAAATTGCAAGTTACAAATGAAGTGGACAAGGAAAATAAAAGAGTTATTGTAAAATTGAGTGATTAGATTCGACAAGAAAATAGAAGAGTCATTACAAAATTGAGTGATCAGATTCGACAATTTCACTACACTAATTGAATGGATATTAACGTCTTTCTCGATCATCCAAATGAGCAATGAATCGTGTATGCTTTAACCGAAGAAGAAATCATTGTTACAATTAGACAAAAAGATAAAAGAAATAATTCTAAGGATGATAGTAGGAAATACAAAAAGTTTTGTACCATGAAGCTCTAAACATGCTTAAGAAGCTAAAAATATTTTAGCTTCAACAAGAAGGTGTCTATGCTAGCAAGTTATTACATACTGGCAAGGTAAAAGATGTGGTAACAACTCTAAAATATAAATCATTGTCCCAAACAACTTTAGATAAATATTTTATTTCATCTTAAACCTTTAATGTAATATAACATATATTTTTTTTTGTAATATACAAATAATTATTACTATGCGTAGGTAACTTTCTTTAAGACGAGAATTAGAAAAATTATAACTTATTACAATGTAGAGTTTATTCTTATTTATAACTATCTCAAATTAAGACTAAATTATTTTATAATTATTTAGAGAGTTTATTCTTATATATAATATTAATATGGAGAAGTTTTATTGTACTATGTATTGTGAAAAGAAGGTGCAATACCACTACATTCATGGGCTTACACATTGGGCTAGGCCCGTTGTCCAACTTGAGTTTTCACNTTTTCTCCTCATTCCCTTCTCCAAGACCCTATTAGCCCAAACATTGGCAGTCCGATATGGCCGCCTCTTGCCCAGATCATGTCAGTCTTAGCTGGTTGCGACTTGCCTAAATCATGCCAGCATGATATGGCCAAGCGACGGCCAGATCGTGGTCGCCCGATTTGGGCAACCATCAATTTTTTAAAACATTTTCTTATGATTTATTTTTTTTCACTTTTGGGATAATGGATCCTATGAGTTTTAAGTTATGTTTTGACATTTTGGAGAGTTTGAACATGGTTAAATCTTTGATTTGGTAAGTTGTTAGAGATTTGGTTGTGGAAAAAAAATTGAGATGAATTGTTGAATATTTGGTGATCAAGATTTTTGTTTGTGAAAGGGGGATTGGGATAGGGTTTGGCTACTGCAAAAAAACTGGTAATTTCGAGTTGGAGGTGGAGGAGGAGGCGTTGAAGGTGGTTCTAGTAAAAGTGGAGACTTTGGAGTTGGTGGCGGGGTTGGAGGTGGTATTGGCTGTGGTGGTGGTGGTTCTGGCCACGAAGTAGGCTTTGGTGCTGGAGGAGGTGTGGGCAGTGGTGTTGATGGTGGTGTTGGAGGAGGAGGTGATGGTGATAGGGGTGGAGGTGAAAGAGTTAGGGGTGAATTAGGTGAAGATCTGGACATGGGGGTGGCTTTGGCACTGGTAGAGGCGGGGTGGCTTTGGCACTGGTGGGGGTGGGGGTGGAGGTGTAGGAGGCGAAGCTAGTGGAGGCATAGGTGGTAGAGGAGTAATTGGAGGCGGGGGTGGAGGAATAGGTGGGATTCAGGTCATGTTGGCGGGTTGGAGTTGGTGGATGTGTAAGAGGAAGTGCAGGTGCAAGTGGTGGTGTTGGAGGAGGAGCAACATATGGTATTTAGGGGTGTTCAAAAGCGGTTAACCGCTTTTTTGAACCGAATCAGTTTTTCAGTTTGGAAAAATTCCCGAACCGGTTTGGAAGGAAAACCATTTTTTTTGGTTAGCCGAAAAACCGGTTAATCGCTTTAAAAAAGTGGTTAACCGGTTTTCCCCTTTTTTTATAAAACTTTTTTTTTTATGTTTTCCTAAATTAAATTGTAAATATAAACAATACATATCCAAATAAAAATTAAACATTCATACATATCCATTGATCACTACTAACAATATATCAAAAATATTATTATTTTTTATTTAATATATATATATATNTTATTGTAAAATTGAGTGATTAGATTCGACAAGAAAATAGAAGAGTCATTACAAAATTGAGTGATCAGATTCGACAATTTCACTACACTAATTGAATGGATATTAACGTCTTTCTCGATCATCCAAATGAGCAATGAATCGTGTATGCTTTAACCGAAGAAGAAATCATTGTTACAATTAGACAAAAAGATAAAAGAAATAATTCTAAGGATGATAGTAGGAAATACAAAAAGTTTTGTACCATGAAGCTCTAAACATGCTTAAGAAGCTAAAAATATTTTAGCTTCAACAAGAAGGTGTCTATGCTAGCAAGTTATTACATACTGGCAAGGTAAAAGATGTGGTAACAACTCTAAAATATAAATCATTGTCCCAAACAACTTTAGATAAATATTTTATTTCATCTTAAACCTTTAATGTAATATAACATATATTTTTTTTTGTAATATACAAATAATTATTACTATGCGTAGGTAACTTTCTTTAAGACGAGAATTAGAAAAATTATAACTTATTACAATGTAGAGTTTATTCTTATTTATAACTATCTCAAATTAAGACTAAATTATTTTATAATTATTTAGAGAGTTTATTCTTATATATAATATTAATATGGAGAAGTTTTATTGTACTATGTATTGTGAAAAGAAGGTGCAATACCACTACATTCATGGGCTTACACATTGGGCTAGGCCCGTTGTCCAACTTGATTTTACACACAAGCTTGAGTACATTAAATAAGACAGTGACAGACCATACATGTTTTAATAAAGGCCTTAAAAACATCAGCACCAACCACATATTCCCACGTGTCATGTTTTGGTCCATGGCCCTAAGCCCGTAACCATAACCAACAAAAATCACCATATTACCATTTCTCTCAAAATTACCCTCACATCTTCGCCTTTCCTCGCACAATTCCCAAGGTTAATTCCGTCACAAACAAGCAGATAATGACCATGGCCATACATAAAACATATCCCTTAAAAAAATATGCAACAATTCTCATTCGTTCATATGCTGCTTCAAATTAAAGAACAAATTAAAGAAGTCGCCAACTCGCCATTGGACCTAAGAGAGGAAGCTTTTTTCTTTCTGTTTTTTTTTTTTTTTTTTAATTCTGTGATAGAAAATGAATGCAATAAGTCTTAAAGTTGCAGCAACGTCAACGTGGAGGTGTGTGTTGCAGGGTAGAGAGAGTTACAGTTGGGTGGATTTAGAGTATGGGAGGAGAAGAGTTGGCTGGGTTTGTAAAGATGTTACGAGAACATTTGGGGTTGTGGCTTGTGTTGGTGCTGGTGCTGGTGGTGGAGGGGAAAAGCTGAGTTCGAGTTCGGATTCAGGTGGGTCAAGTCCGAGTTCTCTTTTTTCTCGGAGCCAAACTTATGCTCTCTTGAAGCACCAAATGGAGGTTGCTGCCAAATCCGAGGTTTGGAATTTAATTTGGTATTTATGTTAATATAACAAGTCATAGAATGAATGATAGTGTTTTTGTTTTTCCTAGTAGCTGTGTATTGTTCTTTTTTCTGGGATTATTTAGTGTTATTTTCGAAATGAATGCGAGGTGGTTTTGTAATTTGTAGATTTGTTATCAATATATTACGCAATTTTGAATTTGAGTGGAGTTTTGTTTTTTGTATGACATTGTTTTGTTGCTGAGAAATATAGGGAATAGAATGAGAAACAACTATTTGTGGACAGAAACAAAATGTAACAAAAAAGTGTAATGTTAAGTGTTTCTTTTTAATCTTTTGTTCTTATTGCTAAACAAATGAGGGTTTATAGATTGCACATTATGAGATTCGTGAATTTGAGGGTTAAGTTCCTTACAATTATTTTATTTTATTTTATTTATTTCAGGATTATGAAGAAGCTGCGAGAATTCGTGATTCATTGAAATCATTTGAGGAAGAGGAGCCTGTTCTTCGACTTCGGAGGTTAATGAAAGAGGCAGTTGTGGAGGAAAGGTTTGAGGTAACCAATTGTGACTGCCCAATATAACTATCTGTGTCTTTATGCTTTGATAACTATATTAATATATACACGTATCTATGTATGCATATAAGTTTACCAAATTTTTAGCAAAATGAATGCAATGGGCTGCACAAACATTTTCTTATTGTTGCCTGTGTGGCTAGTCAAAAGGTTTTCTCTTCATTTCAAGATGGAAGAATTTCTTGATACTGTTTGATTTTGAGTAATCATCTTCAAGTTATGGGGAAAAAGTCTATGGGCTTTCTGGACCTTGATAAAGCAATGGATCATCATATGTGGAGTAATATTTGTGGTTTAACACATATAGGTCTCTGATATATTAATGTTATTGTAGGTTAACAAATTTAATTCTCCCTCCCCTCTCCCTTCTTGCTTAAACTAATGGGTCTAGTTCCCATCATTGAATGCTACAATTTGGTGGTGCTCCCCTTGTTCAGTTGTAAGACTCAAAATTGTTTGTGACAGTTAGCCTCCCATTATTGATAAAAGAAGATGAAGTTTCACCTCATTTTTGGAGCAGAACCTTGATTATGAAGTTGGTAATAAGGTGAGTTTACTGGAAGAAAAATAATAGTACAAAATGTGATAAAACAACTGAGAGAAATCTTGAATCAAGACCAACTGTCAAGAAAATTTGTAACTATGGAGATCCGCCTGTAGCTCTGTGCAAACCCCAGCTAGGGGAAATTCCTGCCACAGTAAAGAAGAACAAAGCAACCCCAGGTTAGATAGCTTGTCTGCAGCAGTGTCAACCTCCCTGCAGATATGAGACACTGAAAACTCGTATGCTTTTAGCATGGAGAGACAATTCAATGGTTCCTCAGCTGTTATGGGGATTGTATGAAGGGCTTTTAAAGCGCATTAAGGCTGCCAAGGCGTAACATTTAGTCCGAAGCTAAAACCAGCCTTGGTCATGCGCAAATTCAATAACCTAGATGATTGATAGCCAACTTTGAATAAAAATCAGAGTGATGCTCAAAAGGGAGAAAAAAATCTCCCCCTGAAATCTCCATTACAACTCATAAACACAGCACCACAAGTTATTCCAAGATTTCCTTTAGCCAACTCATTATATAATTGAACCAAAGTGATAAAGTGGGCTTAGTTAGAATTCACTCTCAAAAGCTAGCTCAAGGTAGGAGAGAGCCCAAACACATATACACACCATAACAGTCCACCAATTTGGCGATGTGGAACAAACTCAACTTCAATACCCTCCCTCATGCTTGACATGTAAGGTGAGTCCAAACCCATCATCGCCTCAAACAAACGTGGCTCTGATAGCATGATAAAGTAGGCTTGGGTAGAACTCCTCCCAAAAGTTAGCTCAAAGGAGAAGGGAGCTCAATCACATATATACACTATAACAACCCACCAACTTTGCTATGTGGGACAAATTCAACTTCAATACAAAGAATGGCTTTTGGAACTCAAAACAGCAAATATTTTAATTTGATTTGTGAACTTATATGCATGTGGATCAATCTTCAAAGAAGCCCTCTAGCTTTAACTGCATTATTAATGATTGTTTTGATCAATAATCTTCCATTTTCAATTGTTAGCATTCTGTTAGGTGGTTGCTGTAAGCTATATTGGAAATTTGTTTCAAACCATGAAAGATGACCTGTATTAATTCTTATGTTGTGGTCTAAATATCAATTTTTTGTTACAACCTTTGAGTTAGAGATTGTTTGCAGGAATATGTTTCAAAGTGGGTTTTATATACATGCTGAGGTGTTGTATTTTATTACCCACCTTATGATCTCTTTCTTTTGCATTGTTCTTTACCAGGATGCTGCTAGGTGTCGCGATGAACTAAAGGAAATTGCACCACACTCTCTCCTTAAATGTTCGAGTGATGCAACAACCTTGGTATGGCAACAATTCTCATTGCAAATGTTGTTTGGTGCCTTCAGATTTTGTTTTAGCTGGCTTATGACAGGCTTTTGTTGTTTCTATCAAATGCTTAGGTCCAATTTTTTTTGGGTTTGATTGCCTGTGCATGTGTAACAATCTGCTGGAGTGTTGTTTGCAGTCTATGCAACAGTTCATGTAGCATTTTTTGACACCCACGATAGACCAGTTTGGGCCAAATATTGTTGTCTCCTACTACTGACGTTTCTTAATATCTAATGAGAAGTCTTAAATATGTATTTCTTATGACTCAGCTTCTGGGAAAAGTGACAGGAATGAGTGGTGTGAGTGTGTTTTACTTCTCTAAATGGCCAGGCTTGCATTTTATTTTTCGACCCCATATTAGGTGGAATGTTTAACCTGATTGGGCCCAACCTGAAGAACATGTTGCGACTTGTTTTTCAATTCTGTGTTACTTTAACTCTCTCTGCTTTTCATTCAAATTTGTTAATATAAAAGAGAAACGAAAGTAAAATAAAAGAGGAACTTATACAAACTGAATGAAGTTTAATTTACAAAACCAATGATGGATTCTAGGGTATCAGGGTTCAAGTCAGGAGTGTGTACATTGAAGGTCGAAGTCAACCTTCAAAAGGGCAGTACTTTTTTGCATATAGAGTGAGGATTACCAATAACTCAGATCGTCCTGTTCAGCTTCTTAAAAGGCATTGGATTATCACTGATGCCAATGGGAAAACTGAAAATGTCTGGTGAGTAATTATTCTAATGGTATCTGCAGTCTTGGGATTTTCCTCTTGTTTTTGGCTCTTTTTCCAATATGAATCTCTGTATCTCTTACCTTTTTTACAGGGGAATAGGAGTCATAGGCGAACAGCCGGTTATACTTCCAAAGACAGGTTTTGAATACTCATCTGCCTGTCCATTAAGCACTTCCAGTGGTAGAATGGTAAGCTGGGATGATTTCATTCCTCCATCTGTACTTATTGAACTTAAGTATTTTTCCCATTAATGTAATTAGGAAAAGAAAAAATTTCCGTTTACTCGAATGATGCTTGTGCTATGTGATAACATGTGCATGATGGTATGCCATCAGTAATTAACTGGTGCACAGAATTAGATGAAAACTTCTTATGTTTGAAGACTGTCTCAGGTATGGATATGCTTGGTTGCTAATCCCTTTAGACTTTTGGTTGTCTAATTATTACAAACTGCATTTATTGTTATCGTTCTAGGATTTAGACTTTTATTTTACATATTGATACCTAGAAGTCACCATATTGCCTCATCCTAAATAAGTTGGGTCCTACACTATGGCCATGTCCCATGTTGTCCAGTTTGTGGTTTTCCCTTGACTTCTTAAAAAGAGATGTCATAAATTCTGAATGCAAGCTTGGTTAGAAACAAATGTGGCCACGCGAGATGGGTCCTTAAATTAAAACCTAGTTTTATGCATGCATTTTAATGTCTTACAATTGATTAACTCTGTTATCATCATTCCTCAAATTGTTTCAACATCTTATCATTTATCTATACTCAAGAAAGTTAGAATATCTTTTGCTTGTTTTCAATACAGGAAGGTGATTTTGAGATGAAACACATCGATAGAGTAGGGTCATCGACTTTCAATGTGGCTATTGCTCCATTTTCTCTCTCCACACTGGGTGACGGTGATTGTTTTTGATATTGGTGCTAGTCATCCCTATAGAATGGCAGAGGTGCCACATCCCTAGCATAAATATATTATTTTCAGAAAAGCTTACTTCAACCAGAATTGTAAAGCAGTGTAAGTGTAATTATATTATTGGTCGATAATCTCATCAATTGTTTCCCTAGATGGATGTAAATTGTCAACATCCTATGTAGTGAACTTATGGAAGAAATAAATAATGAATATGTATATTATATGAGAATTTTATCAAGAGAGTCTGAGCTGTATGGTAGTATGGTACATAAAAAAATTATTTCCATTATTTGGTAGCACTACATGTACCAAGAAGTTTTGCAGCATTGGCCTATATGGTCATCCCCTTTGTGAATACTTTTGCACCAGAGAAATGATTAAAATCTCAATTTTCATTTTCCTAGTGAAATAGTTTTCGTTTCCAGCTGGTTATCGCATCCTTAAAATCAGTAGAGTTGTTTGAATAAACAAGAAATTGCTTGAAGCTTCTCCGCTAAACACTTCTTTTGTTTAATGTTGATGTCGATTTTTGAATGGTTAAATATATATCTGCTTCACTATTCGCATAAATCTGCATGATATGCAGATGGGATAATTTGATAAATATTCTCAGCAATCAAACAAAGAGAGTTTTGTTTGTTGGTGTTTCGGTTCAAAGGTCTGTTTCTTAAAAAGTGGTGCTTACAAATTGCTTTACACAATTTACTGCATAAAACTTGGAAAAAAAATTCAACCCATTTGGCCCATCTGTGCACATTTTCAAATCTATAACCTGTCTCCTTAAATTATCATTGAAAGTTCAGGAAGTTAGCTCACCAATACTCAGTGAACATGAAAGGTACTCCCTCTTTCTATCTATCTTTGTCATGCAGAATTAATATTTTGTGTTCTGCAAATGAGGTTTTAAGCTAGGTTTTCTACTCACACAAATAGTTTTTGTACTTTGAAGTAGTTATTTTATATGTAGTTCAAGTTTGCAAAACTGTGTGATTGGTTATAGGCCATAGAGTATGAATTAATTAGTATTATGATTAATGATACTTGTCAAACGGTGTTTATAGTAAAGTTGTAGTTGAGTGTTGGTTTCACCTGGGCAGCTGATTCATGCTTTTGTAATGTTTAACCAACTATATGTAAACTCTCCCTATAAAAACCTAACCATCCCCTTGATTTGATACTCGTATTACAGTCGTGTTGTTTCAAATTTGGAAGTTTGGATATATATGCATGCAGCTGATAGAGAAGATTGAATTGGTGGTTTTGCTGTAACAAGTTTCACACATTTTCTCATTTGGGTTAATTTCATGATGAACAACAGGATTCTTATGGATTTGTTAGGTTTGTCTTCTTCACCCCCATTGCTTTTATCTCTGTTTTGTTAATCATTTTGGAGGCATTAAATTAATTAGTTCTTTTCTCTTCATATTAATGTGTATTAGTTAGGTGGGTATTTAAGAATGAACTAAGATATACATTAAATGGTCCGACTAATTGGGATTTAGTTTGGTGGGTATTCAAGAAGAAAAAACATTATAAAATTACCTTAATGGTCTTATGAAATGGGATTTTTGTATTGGAGCCGAGTATGATTGAAAAAGAAACAATTTAAATTAAGTGAATGCATTTGATGGGACAAAATATTAAGAAATAATTGATATTTCCCAGATGTCAAATGGACCCAGATTCCATTAGCCCCAACCAAGACTCATGTTTGTACAACTGCTGGGTCCTGGTGCAGAGGCAGAAGTTGCCCACTCACCAAGTAATTTGTGGCGTGTTCTTAATTTTTTTTTTTTTTTGCTGTTTCTTGGAAACCAAGTTTGTCTAAGTCATCAATTCATTATCAAACAACCATTTTCAAATCCCCATCAATCTCCTTTCTCATATTTGTATTAAAACTGCATTAATTACAATAACTAAATGGGTTGAGTATTAGAAGGGGATTGATTTCTTTTTGCTACCGACTTATCACTTTAACCCCTTTTCTTTTCTTTTCTTTTCTTTTATGTTTTAACTCTTATGGTGAAAGGAAAAAGCCATGAAGGCTGGTGACATATTTGTTCAACCTTTTGCCCGTAATATTTATGATATGATATGGTTTATGGATAATTAAAAGAATCACATAATAATCATGCAAAACGATGAGTTTTAATCTTCATGAATCATGTTGAAATGCAAACTCTAAACCCCAGGAGGATTCTCAGGTGGGTCATGAAAGCTTTACCCTTTACTCCGCAGCGGTTAAGTCCTGGACCAGGGGTCAAATTGGGTCCCAGTTCCTGACTGTCCTCAATATCAAAATCATGAATCCCCATGAGTAGAGTTCCTGATTGATAAATGATGGCCAATCAGAATGGTACAAACCATTAGTCAAAAAGTGGGTTCATTAGAAATGATGGTATTTGAGTCCACCATATAATTTCGTTGGCTTTTTTTTAATGTCAAAATATTCAGAAAAGAACCCATCAATACCATGCTTGTACTCCAAAAGCATCAAAAGGATTCCAAAACACAGTTTCTGGCCCTCTTACTGTCTCTGATATTGTAATTTTATCAGAAACTTGAAAAGACTAAATAAATAAATAAATAAAAAGACTGGAAATCCAAGAAAAGGTAGCCAACACTCTCGCATGTTTTTTGTAATTTTATATTTGCATGGGCATAACAATTAACATGATTGAGACTCAACACAAGTCTGGTCCATTTTACAAGACAAAACAAACAAAAATATTTTAAAAGAAACACAAGAAGCTTGTGCTCGAAGCACAAAATCCTTTTACGTGTTTGTCCCTCTTCCCTTCCCTCCTCTCATTTTCTCTCTAAATTAAGCAATCAAGTAAAGCATCTCCTATCTATTTTCTTGCTTTCCCTTGCAAGTATCGACCTTTGCTTGGTTTAGAATTTAGCTTCTTCTTCTTCTTTTCTGGAGCAAATCTTCCATTACTTAAATCTTTTGAAAAAACATTCCTAAAGTTTGGAATCTCTGCTACCCTCCTAGATTAATGGGTTCAAATTCAATTTTGTTTTGTTTAATATTTTAGAACTTGTAGTTGTTGCCATGTCAATGTAAACAAAGAGTTGTTTAATTTCAGGACCAGTACTTATTACTTGGTGTAGACACTTGGGGATTTCATTTCATCTATTTGTAAATCAAACACTGTTAAGCATTTCACCTTTTACTTTTTTGCAAACTTATTCTTTTACTTTATTCTCACAGAGTTGTTCACTTTTCACAGTAATGCGTGTCCTACAGATCATTTCTTCAAACTAATTAATATTTCTGAATTTATTCTCTCTTGCTTTTTCTTCAGGTTTTCCTAAGATTTCACTTACTATATTCACAATTCTTCTCCTGGAGCTCCCTTGAACTTCTGTTCTTAATTTCTTCCATTGTTTTATGTTCCTCCGTTACACAAAGATTTTTACTTTTTTTCTCTGGGAATCATATAAAGAGGCTCATGATCATAATTTTGTTAAAGTACTTCTTGCAATGACTTTATGCATTGTTCAATCATTTTAAAGATGGTTATTAGCTGACTGTCTCGAATTTTGGTTTCTATAGTTTCTCTTCACCCAAGCGAAAAACTGTTGATATTAATTCCTCCAGAATCCCAGTTCATATTAGTAAAGTAACATCATGAGTGACATGACAGGATCCACAAAAGTTTCATGGCATCCAGACATGGATGTCGATACAACCACAACAGCTTACTGGTTTAATTGGAGGGTATTACTTTGTGCCATTTGGGTCATCATACCGATGACTTTTGCATCTTTTCTCATATGGAAAAATGAAGGTTTTCGCGAGTCGAATCGCGGCAGCAGCCGAGAAACAGAGAAAGAAGCACCAGGAGCTTTGTTTGATGATGAAACTTGGCGGCCATGCTTAAAAGGAGTCCATCCCGCTTGGCTCCTGTCTTTTAGAGTTATTGCTTTCTTTGTTCTTATGCTGTTGCTAGTAGTCACCGCTTTTGTAGATGGAGGCAGCATTTTTTACTATTATACTCAGTAAGTTCTATTTGATTTTTGTCTTTTTCCCATATGGTATTTCAAATTTCTTCACAACTTTCATTTCGTTTTCCATTTTATCTTTATGTATTTTATTGTTTCTGTGATTCGGATTCAAGTTAATTAAATTTGATGTTTCTTGGTTCTGGAAAGGTGGACTTGTACGTTAATCACAGTCTATTTTGGGGTATGTATCTCTTATAATTCGAAAGAAACTTTCTCTCAAATTGATTCACTTTCTTTTTCATTTGTTATTTGCTTACCATTTCATTGTATTGCATTATTGTAGCTTGGATCATTGCTCTCCATATATGGATGTTATCAATATCAAAAAAGACTTTGTGGTGAAAAGGTTGGTAATTTGGAGATGGATGCCGAGAATGGAACTTATGTGGCTTCTGCGCAAGGTGAAAATTCTAACAATGAGGCAAAAGTCACCAACACCGATGAAGAAGCTCATGTTCGCCAACGGGCTGGCTTCTGGGGCTATGCCTTTCAAATAATTTTCCAGGTAAATTGTCAATAATCAGCATCTGAATTCCGGTGTTTCAAATTTTATATTAAATAAATACAGAATAATCCAAACTGTGGAGGGAACCTACAGGGTTTAGCTGAATCCTTCAATGGCAATGCAGTTGTATTCTCTCTGGTTTTAATGTTGAAAGAAAAATGGAGAATTTTGGTTTGTTGATTCTTATACAGAAGGTCATTCATTTGATTTTTTGTTTCTTCTGTAAACAGATGAGTGCAGGGGCGGTTTTGCTTACAGATTGTGTCTTTTGGTTCATAATCGTTCCATTTCTTGAAATCAACAATTATGGTCTGAACATTGTAAGTATTATACATTGCTGCTTCAATTCAAGTTCTGCACATTCTTTTCTTTCTTATCTAAATAATGTTTTTGATTTTTTTGTTTTTTCTGGGCAGTTGATTATAAATATGCACACAATAAATGCTGTTTTCCTGCTTGGTGATGCTTCTTTGAATTGCTTGGTAAGTTTCCTTAATCAGTTTCAATGGCTGATCGCTTCCAATTTCTGACAAGATTAACATTGACTTGTTTATCTTTTTCCCCTTTCAGCGCTTTCCTATATTTCGTGTTGCATACTTCTACTTATGGACAGTGACTTACGTTATAGTCCAATGGATTGTTCATGCTTGTGTTAAACTCTGGTAAATCCAACTCTCTTTTGTCTTTCTGAAAAGGAAAGTAATCTTCATTCCATTTTTTTTTTTTTTTTTTTGTTTTATAATGGGATTTTTCCACTGGTGAAACAGGTGGCCATACCCATTTCTGGACTTGTCATCTTCATATGCTCCTCTATGGTATGCATTCTTAAATCATCACCCACTGGAATTAGTAGTTTCAGTTAATACTGATAATTTTACTCTCAATTCAATTGGAATTTGAAGGTACTTTTCAGTAGCAGTAATGCATATCCCATGCTATGGCGCTTTCGCTTTAACAATAAAGGTGAAACACTATCTGCTGTCAAGATGGTTCAAAAATTCTTATCTGTGTGCAATGTAAACTTGGCCTGAAACTTCATGAATTCAAGTCCTTGAAGAAAATGAGAAATTTTTTCAGTGGAAGAGACAGGACAGCAACAGCCTCCACAGTACATGAGAGATTTATTGATTTCTTCATTCTGTATAGTAAGTTTTGGAAAATACAGGAATCCTGAAACAAGAAATTAACATTCTTAATTTTATTATACATCCATTTATGGATATGAGACATAATTGTAGCCACATTATAAGTTTACAAACAAGTTTATACAAATTCTTGACCCGCTCATTAGTCAAAATGTTTTTTTTTTTGTTTTTTAACTCCACCTTTTCACAAGCAAGAAATGCAAAAATATAATAAAAAGGTTCCCATTTCTGCATAATTTGTAATTTAAGTAGCCTGGTCTAGATTTGAAATGAGAGTGTTATTGAGCAATGATTGAATTGTAAAGGCATATCCAAACGGAAAAAGTGACTGTGACGGGCCATCTGTTTGTAAAAATGTAACCCCAGGGAAGCATAGCCTGTCAAAAAAGAACTAGTCAAAAATGGCAAAAGAATAATAATATGACACCTTTTAACTTTACCAGCGATGGTTCAAGGGAACAAAACAGGATATGATATTCTTGTGCTTTTAAATTATGATCACCCAATGCGTTCTTTTACTTTTATTTAACTCTTGCAAGTTTTTGAATGATATTTCAATGCATTCTAATGTAGGAAAAAGATTATACCTTTATTTCTCTGCAATTTCAATAATCGGTAACCTGCAAGTATTCCGAGTTCTAGTCCTGCATGTATGTTCATGTGCTTATAGAAATTCAGAATATGGGACAAGAAAACAGCTTTATGCATTAGTATAAAGAATTGAAAGTAAGACATCACATAAGGGAGATTACAGGAAACAATTAACACTCTGATTTGTATATACGATACAGTTTTACAAAAAAAAAAAAACCCAAAAAGGCAAAAAATCTCACCTTCCAAATTTGGTTGCAAGCCTCAACAATGTAGGCCACCTTCAATTATTACGGTATTTACCTCAAATGGTGCAACGAATGATATTAAATTTTCAGTTCAAGCTAGAATATATATGATACATTACAATTACAGATTATTACAGAGTAGTGCTTGGAAAAGAACCCATTAGAATAACATTGTCACTGTCTTTATGCTCCTTTTTTTCTGGCTTTGCCTTTGAGAATAGTCCAGAGAGGAGTCCTACAGATAGTCCAGAACCTGCTCTCTTCCCTAGTGTGATCAATGCTCCGTTATTCTCACCACTCGCATTGTCGCTTACCCTTTTCGCGGAACTTGCAGCCTCAGCCATCCCAAGGCTTGCACCACAAGGGCAGTGTGTCAGCTTTCTGAAGCAAGGCTTATGGAATACTGCTTCGCAAGATTTGCACTTTTCAATGTCACCTTCCTGTTGATTATTTTACACTGTCAGCTCATAAAAAATGAAATGATAAGAGTAATAAACTACAATATTACAATATTTTAACTCTCACACCAAATATGCAGAAAAAAGATCAACACATTCCGTGCAAACAAAAATACAAAGTGGGAACCTCAATTATAGATATAAATCTGTGGTGCTTATGCCAACTGATTCAAATTTGAATTTCACAAGGCCTAGCCAATGAACTTAAAAGAGATGACGTGTGAATGTGAATGCATAGTGCTTGGGCCAGAGCCCTGAGCATGAGTTGGTGTGCTTATACAGACACCATGAATTCTGTTGACACACAAGGAGGGGGAAGGAGTAATTTTCTTTACTGGTCGATCAATTATCCTTGTTAGTGGCAACTATGGCCATTGTACGGGTACTAACCTGAAAAGTGAAAATGAGAGAAGATGGGTCATTACAAGCTTGTCGAGCACTGCAGGGGACTCCAACATCACAACATATAAGGCATTGCTCTGTAATATGCTCCAGGATTTTCCTTGAAACATTTTCCACCATCACAGGTAGTGCTGCCACAAGAGTTACATTTTCAGTTCAGTCAACTACAGATTCAACATATATATGCTGCTCTAACAGAAGCATGGTGCAGATTATACTACACGGCTACCCTCTTCTCTATAGGGGCCAAGCAGCTCTTTGGAAAATTCAACAAATTACTAATACCAATACTTATTTCAAAAGGCCATTTAACTTAACGCAGCAGACCTAAACTTAAAGAGTAGTAACAAACCTAAATACAGGCAAAATATACAGTGATGGGGATTCCGAGAAAAAGCGTAGTAATGAAATATAGTATGAGCGTGATAGAAACCCACTCCAATAACTCAAAAATTTGGACTGGGCCATGGGTCTTTTATGGGCTTGGGTAGAACTCTCCTTGGAAAACCGGCTTGCCAATGGAGGGTGCCCAAGCCTTTATATCCCACATGCCCACCCTTTTCCCTTTCAATGTGGGATCCTAACATTCCCTCACGCTTCGAGGCCCAATGCCCTCGTTGGTCTTCTTTCCAGAGAGCGCCCACCCTCAACCTCTACCCCGCCCTCATTGACCTTTATTGCCCTCCCTATGGGTCTTACTTCGCCTAGAAGCCTATCAGCAACTCTCCTTCTCGACCCTTTGGGGGGCCCACTGGGCCTTGCTGCGTGGGCTCCACATCGGCCTCTTTACCCCTTGGGTGACTTCGCGGATCCCCTTTCCTTAGGATAGCAGCCCCAGCCCGGATCCCCTTTCCTTGGGGTAGCAGCCCGAGCCCAAGGTTAGCTTGTCACACGTGCGCAAGATCATACTCTGATACCAATTGATAGAAACTCACTCCAATAACTCAACAATTTGGGCTGGGCCATGGGTCTTTCATGAGCTTGGGTAGAACTCTCCTTGGAAAACCGGCTTGCCAAGGAGGGTGCCCAAGCCTTTATAACCCACATGTCCACCCTTTTCCCTTTCAATGTGGGATCCTAACAGAGCCCATAAATCTTAAGAAATATCTTCACACTAACAAATAAAAAAGAAGCTATTGATTAGTTAACCTGCAAATGGTCCTTTGGAAAGGTCAATGAGATCTCTGAGCGCAAAAAAGTCATTGCTTTCAAGAAGATATCTTCGAGATCCAAGTCCTTTGTTGATGGACCTACGAAACGGGCAGCGAACAAATGGAAGCATAGCTCCTATTTTTTTCCTTACACCCATTACATGCTGTAGGGCTGGCACCTTTGAGTACAGGAAAGGATTAACTGCACTCACGCAAAGCATGGGCTGCAAGAATATAAAGATATATATCATCAACAGTCTTAATTAAGAATTACGTTAACCTTGAAAGCTTAACTTGAATCTGTAATACATGAAATGGCGAAATTCAAACACGGGAATGTTTCATCTCAATACATACAGAGCTGCTTGATGAGTAGTCCAGGATCGAAAAAAGAATTATACAAAAGAATCTAAAATATATCCAAGATAAAAAAATATAGTTTTGACCATCTAGTTACATGCAGTTATCTCACATTTCCTTCAGCATAAGATAGGATTCAAAAGTTAATTTAGGAGACCCCAGCTAAAAGATCCTTTCAATTCCCTTTTTCCGTCTTTCTTTTGTTTCTTATTTTCATTTTTTACTTTTTTGGTTTTATTAGAGATGTTAAAAAGAGACAATAATCCAACAAATATGACCAATGAAGAACAGGGTATTTAGACTTTTACTCGTCAATTGATCCTGATTTTCAGTCTATTAAATTAGTGTAGGCATGGCCATCAGGCACTTTCGATACATTTTTTTCTTTCATTTTCCATTCTTGTGATCAGTAAATCTCAACTATCGTCAAGATTTGAGTTGGGGCTTTCAGGGGTGGCCTGACAGTCAAGTGATAGAAGTAAACATAATATCTTAGTTATGTCACCTCTTGTATAACATCAATTCTTCTACACACTCAAATCTACCATGTGATGTTGACAATGTAAACACAATAAAAGCTGGTTCACAATTACCTGATCATATACAGAGTCCAAATATGATTTAGCCAATTGAGAAATTGGATATCGTGTAAAGTCCCAATGATGCAATACTCTTGCTGGCAAGACTGCCGTGTCACCATTATGGCAGGAAGAACAGAACAACTGACCAGTGTATTCACAAAGTCGAGGTTTGCCCCACCCAAAAGTCTGAACAAAGTCTTGTATTAGAGTCATTCCATCATCAAAATGTTTGTGGCATCCAGCACAAGTATAATGTTGTGCTTCTAGCATCTGTTTCATGGATTTTTGTGGTCGAATTTCAACAATAAGAGATATGGTCTTCCCTAAAGGAGAAGTGTTTTGTGCATCTGCCCCTCTAGTAAAAGATGTGGACCGAGAAACCGGTGTGTTTGAAACAGGGGAACTAGGTAATGAGTCCTGTGGAGACAAGAACCAAATCAACGCACCAGGAGGGCTGGAAAAAGAACAGGAACGGATGACAGATTGTAAACACTCCTGAATGAGAACACTTCTCTCAGCAACAACATCAGGAGATGCATTTCCAAATATCTTGCGAGATTCTTTTTCTACAGATGACCAGGGAGAAGGGAGAATCCAGCCGTGGTCAGCATAAAATGATTTCAAGCGACGATAGAGAGTAAAGAAATCACGATATCTGCGTTCAACCTCCCACTGATCCTTTCCACTCCACACTCTTATTTTATAAACAGTGTATTCCTTCACTCCAACCAATCTTTCACTGAGTGAAACATCACCTTTCTTCTGCTTGGCACCAACCACTTCAACCCCATCAATTCTCAGTGGGAGTGAAGTCAGTGGGTAAGCATCATCTGTACCAGAAGGAGAAGCTGTGGAGCTGCCATCTCTCAGAGGTAGAGAAACTTGAGATTTAAAGATCTGGTTACCCTGAGAGAACCTAGCCCCAGGGGACTCATTGTAGTCAAGCAAAATTTCTTCCATATCATGAACAACGTCGTCATAAAAATCATGTAACTCAAGATTCTCTTTCTGCAATATATTATGGTATAGAGATAAGAAAACAAGCAACTTAGAAGAGACAGAAACAAATACATGCCAAATGAAGAGCTAACACGATGCTTCACCAAATATGGTGGTTAATCAACTATATAGGAAACCTATAATAATATGCACAAATAAGTAGGGCTTACTCTTATAAATTAATGAAATAAAAAAGGTACAATCACTAACATTAGGACACGAAAAACTGAAAAAAGATGAAAAATGAATAAACAAGAAAATGATTACTCAATGTTAAGTAGTAAGTACTGACCTTGGTCAAGGCCGGATGGTCATCAGAAAGATCTGCCGAGGCTGGAGCATTCTTTGATGGATTCAAGATATTTCCAAATGTTGGTGGGGATAGTGTTGGTTCACAGTCTTCAAAGGGTTCTGAATGTGACATTTTAGCAGATCCAATTGAAGGAGCACAAAGTTGATCTATGGGAATTTCAGCAAGAGGGAGAAACTGTGCTTTTAAATGCCCAAATTCTTCGCTCTCTAAACTTCCACTGTCATTGGTACTGCGTTCCTTGTTACTCAAATATTGATTAATAATTTCCATTCTGGAATCAATAGTGTCCAACCCCATCTTCAAGGGAGCCTTCTCAACCACTGGGTCCTGCTCCCTCACAAAAGCATTACTAACAGAGCCATTATTATGGTACATGGTCACATCATCAGCATCTTGGACTTCATTACTGGCAATAGAAATACCTCCTACATCATGATCTACCCCAGAAAATCTTGGCAAACAAATTGAGGTAGGGGAAGAACTTTTAGTATTTTCTGTCCTTTGGACTTGATTTCTGACAACAGAACTTACAACTTCATCGAGCCCAGAAAACCTTGGCAAATTAATGGGGGCTGAGAAAGAGCTTTTGGAATTTTGTGCCAAAACATCAGCACCTTGAACTTGATATCTGGCTGCAGGAATGTCTTTGTCTTTTTCCAAAGACTCCTGATTAATATGACAGGAAGACCAAGCAGGGTTCATAACAGTGTGATTAATGTTTTCTTCAGAATCATCCGCACCTTGAATTTTTCCACTGACTCCAGGTACATCTTTCGTATCATTTATTTGCTCTTTCTGACTGTCACTTGGAATAGCAATTGAGGTCACAGAATCTAAAAGATTCCTATCACTTTCAAAATTCACTTCTCTCTTCTCCTGAAATTTATCTAACATAGGTGAAGACATAGTACTTCCTCCGACTTCTAGTTCAAAATCATCCCAATCTTCCGAACCAAATGCCACACGGGAATTGATAAGTAATGGATTTTCCTTCTCGCATTTTGCTTCCTTTACATATTCCATTTTCCTCGGATAATATGAAATATTTTTATGCTCCTCATCACTACCATAGTTATACATCGAATCCTCACCTTCTGAGTGCTCATATCTTGAAGAAGTCCCATCTTCCTCCAGCTCCATCTCCCTTCTATCAAACTCTGAACAGAATTGCAAATGCAACCCATCTTGGCAACTGCCCTTAACTTCACTATCCACACAAAGCGAAGGACCCCCTTCAACATCCGAAGCATCTCTCACACCATTCATGCTCCTCTCACCAACCCGAACATTACTACAACTCCCTCCAATCAATACATTCTCAACAGTACCTTCCAATGCAAAATTATCTCCACTCACGGTTCCACAACTATTCAATGCCATATCCTCGTCAACATTTCTTCCCTCATAACTATCATCATACAATCGCAACCCACTAAAACCACTCCCTATTTTTTCATCCTTATCATCATTTCTTTGTTTGCGAAACTCAATTTTATGATCACCTAAAGTAGAAACCTTTCTATCACCACCCAAAATAAAATTCTCAAAATTAACATCCTCCCCGAATCCAAGACTATTTAAAGAACCAAACTCAGAATCTAAACCATCGTTCAATGAAGTACCATACAAGCTACGCACACTGGGTGTGCCCATAACCGAGTTCGCGCTACAATATCGCTCGAACTCGGATTCCCCGCACGAGGAGTAGTGTGACAATGACGCAGGTGACACATCACCACCGTCCGATTTCGGCGGGAACGAATCAAACACGTCCGGAGAGGCGACTTCGGAGGCGTTCTCACGAGTTCCCTCTCCATTATTCATTTGGAATCAATTAATTAATGAATCAAGGTGTTGAAAACGGAATCAACGATGTGATTTAACATAAAAACCAAAGATTCAATAGGACGTACCCCAGTTGATAAAAACCCAGATCGTGTATTGAATGAAGAAAACTTGGGAGGATCCAAACTGAGAGGTATAGAGAGGGGAAATTTTTGAAAGTGGGGTGAGAATTTTGAAAACGTTTTCTATGTTTTCTTTGTTTCGATTCTGTTTCTTAATTTGTCGGAAACGGATTAAGGAGCATACTCAGTTTGACAAAAAGTTGCGTATGTCATATTGCCTTCTTTTTTTATTTTCCTTTAATAATAATAATAACTCCTCAAAAAATTAATTAATCTATTTTAGTAATACAATAATTACTCCACAAATTATTTGTTTATTAATATTTTTAAATCTACATTATACGATAAACATATATAATGAATTTTCACAAACTATTTACTCAGAGGATTTCTTTTTTGTTTTTCTACATTTTATTTAAGAAAATTTTAATATTCAAAATATATGATTTAGTAATGTGCGAACACGCGCGCGTGTACTATAAGTACTTAACTTGCTTCAATTTTTTTTTTTTTTTTTTTTTATGAGAAAAATTAAAAAAATACAAAACCCTAATTCTGTAAAACCCCTTAACCAGAGTCACTACAGAGAAGCATAGTGGATGGAGATGGCAACCTCAAGTGAAGCGTCACTTGACTTGGAAGCATTGCGCCGCCTAAAATCAACGGAGCCACCGTCACGCCCATAAATCTTAAGAAATATCTTCACACTAACAAATAAAAAAGAAGCTATTGATTAGTTAACCTGCAAATGGTCCTTTGGAAAGGTCAATGAGATCTCTGAGCGCAAAAAAGTCATTGCTTTCAAGAAGATATCTTCGAGATCCAAGTCCTTTGTTGATGGACCTACGAAACGGGCAGCGAACAAATGGAAGCATAGCTCCTATTTTTTTCCTTACACCCATTACATGCTGTAGGGCTGGCACCTTTGAGTACAGGAAAGGATTAACTGCACTCACGCAAAGCATGGGCTGCAAGAATATAAAGATATATATCATCAACAGTCTTAATTAAGAATTACGTTAACCTTGAAAGCTTAACTTGAATCTGTAATACATGAAATGGCGAAATTCAAACACGGGAATGTTTCATCTCAATACATACAGAGCTGCTTGATGAGTAGTCCAGGATCGAAAAAAGAATTATACAAAAGAATCTAAAATATATCCAAGATAAAAAAATATAGTTTTGACCATCTAGTTACATGCAGTTATCTCACATTTCCTTCAGCATAAGATAGGATTCAAAAGTTAATTTAGGAGACCCCAGCTAAAAGATCCTTTCAATTCCCTTTTTCCGTCTTTCTTTTGTTTCTTATTTTCATTTTTTACTTTTTTGGTTTTATTAGAGATGTTAAAAAGAGACAATAATCCAACAAATATGACCAATGAAGAACAGGGTATTTAGACTTTTAGTTGTCAATTGATCCTGATTTTCAGTCTATTAAATTAGTGTAGGCATGGCCATCAGGCACTTTCAATACATTTTTTTCTTTCATTTTCCATTCTTATGATCAGCAAATCTCAACTATGGTCAAGATTTGAGTTGGGACTTTCAGGGGTGGCCTGACAGTCAAGTGATAAAAGTAAACATAATCTCTTAGTTATGTCAACTCTTGTATAACATCAATTCTTCTACACACTCAAATCTACCATGTGATGTTGACAATGTAAACACAATAAAAGCTGGTTTACAATTACCTGATCATATACAGAATCCAAATATGATTTAGCCAATTGAGAAATTGGATATCGTGTAAAGTCCCAATGATGCAATACTCTTGCTGGCAAGACTGCCGTGTCACCATTATGGCAGGAAGAACAGAACAACTGACCAGTGTATTCACAAAGTCGAGGTTTGCCCCACCCAAAAGTCTGAACAAAGTCTTGTATTAGAGTCATTCCATCAAAAAAATGTTTGTGGCATCCAGCACAAGTGTAATGTTGTGCTTCTAGCATCTGTTTCATGGATTTTTGTGGTCGAATTTCAACAATAAGAGATATGGTCTTCCCTAAAGGAGAAGTGTTTTGTGCATCTGCCCCTCTAGTAAAAGATGTGGACCGAGAAACCGGTGTGTTTGAAACAGGGGAACTAGGTAATGAGTCCTGTGGAGACAAGAACCAAATCAACGCACCAGGAGGGCTGGAAAAAGAACAGGAACGGATGACAGATTGTAAACACTCCTGAATGAGAACACTTCTCTCAGCAACAACATCAGGAGATGCATTTCCAAATATCTTGCGAGATTCTTTTTCTACAGATGACCAGGGAGAAGGGAGAATCCAGCCGTGGTCAGCATAAAATGATTTCAAGCGACGATAGAGAGTAAAGAAATCACGATATCTGCGTTCAACCTCCCACTGATCCTTTCCACTCCACACTCTTATTTTATAAACAGTGTATTCCTTCACTCCAACCAATCTTTCACTGAGTGAAACATCACCTTTCTTCTGCTTGGCACCAACCACTTCAACCCCATCAATTCTCAGTGGGAGTGAAGTCAGTGGGTAAGCATCATCTGTACCAGAAGGAGAAGCTGTGGAGCTGCCATCTCTCAGAGGTAGAGAAACTTGAGATTTAAAGATCTGGTTACCCTGAGAGAACCTAGCCCCAGGGGACTCATTGTAGTCAAGCAAAATTTCTTCCATCTCATGAACAACCTCGTCATAAAAATCATGTAACTCAAGATTCTCTTTCTGCAATATATTATGGTATAGAGATAAGAAAACAAGCAACTTAGAAGAGACAGAAACAAATACATGCCAAATGAAGAGCTAACACTATGCTTCACCAAATATGGCGGTTGATCAACTATATAGGAGTTTCTGAGTATAAAACCTATAATAATATGCACAAATAAGTAGGGCTTACTCTTATAAATTATTGAAATAAAAAAGGTACAATCACTAACATTAGGACACGAAAAACTGAAAAAAGATGAAAAATGAATAAACAAGAAAATGATTACTCAATGTTAAGTAGTAAGTACTGACCTTGGTCAAGGCCGGATGGTCATCAGAAAGATCTGCCGAGGCTGGAGCATTCTTTGATGGATTCAAGATATTTCCAAATGTTGGTGGGGATAGTGTTGGTTCACAGTCTTCAAAGGGTTCTGAATGTGACATTTTAGCAGATCCAATTGAAGGAGCACAAAGTTGATCTATGGGAATTTCAGCAAGAGGGAGAAACTGTGCTTTTAAATGCCCAAATTCTTCGCTCTCTAAACTTCCACTGTCATTGGTACTGCGTTCCTTGTTACTCAAATATTGATTAATAATTTCCATTCTGGAATCAATAGTGTCCAACCCCATCTTCAAGGGAGCCTTCTCAACCACTGGGTCCTGCTCCCTCACAAAAGCATTACTAACAGAGCCATTATTATGGTACATGGTCACATCATCAGCATCTTGGACTTCATTACTGGCAATAGAAATACCTCCTACATCATGATCTACCCCAGAAAATCTTGGCAAACAAATTGAGGTAGGGGAAGAACTTTTAGTATTTTCTGTCCTTTGGACTTGATTTCTGACAACAGAACTTACAACTTCATCGAGCCCAGAAAACCTTGGCAAATTAATGGGGGCTGAGAAAGAGCTTTTGGAATTTTGTGCCAAAACATCAGCACCTTGAACTTGATATCTGGCTGCAGGAATGTCTTTGTCTTTTTCCAAAGACTCCTGATTAATATGACAGGAAGACCAAGCAGGGTTCATAACAGTGTGATTAATGTTTTCTTCAGAATCATCCGCACCTTGAATTTTTCCACTGACTCCAGGTACATCTTTCGTATCATTTATTTGCTCTTTCTGACTGTCACTTGGAATAGCAATTGAGGTCACAGAATCTAAAAGATTCCTATCACTTTCAAAATTCACTTCTCTCTTCTCCTGAAATTTATCTAACATAGGTGAAGACATAGTACTTCCTCCGACTTCTAGTTCAAAATCATCCCAATCTTCCGAACCAAATGCCACACGGGAATTGATAAGTAATGGATTTTCCTTCTCGCATTTTGCTTCCTTTACATATTCCATTTTCCTCGGATAATATGAAATATTTTTATGCTCCTCATCACTACCATAGTTATACATCGAATCCTCACCTTCTGAGTGCTCATATCTTGAAGAAGTCCCATCTTCCTCCAGCTCCATCTCCCTTCTATCAAACTCTGAACAGAATTGCAAATGCAACCCATCTTGGCAACTGCCCTTAACTTCACTATCCACACAAAGCGAAGGACCCCCTTCAACATCCGAAGCATCTCTCACACCATTCATGCTCCTCTCACCAACCCGAACATTACTACAACTCCCTCCAATCAATACATTCTCAACAGTACCTTCCAATGCAAAATTATCTCCACTCACGGTTCCACAACTATTCAATGCCATATCCTCGTCAACATTTCTTCCCTCATAACTATCATCATACAATCGCAACCCACTAAAACCACTCCCTATTTTTTCATCCTTATCATCATTTCTTTGTTTGCGAAACTCAATTTTATGATCACCTAAAGTAGAAACCTTTCTATCACCACCCAAAATAAAATTCTCAAAATTAACATCCTCCCCGAATCCAAGACTATTTAAAGAACCAAACTCAGAATCTAAACCATCGTTCAATGAAGTACCATACAAGCTACGCACACTGGGTGTGCCCATAACCGAGTTCGCGCTACAATATCGCTCGAACTCGGATTCCCCGCACGAGGAGTAGTGTGACAATGACGCAGGTGACACATCACCACCGTCCGATTTCGGCGGGAACGAATCAAACACGTCCGGAGAGGCGACTTCGGAGGCGTTCTCACGAGTTCCCTCTCCATTATTCATTTGGAATCAATTAATTAATGAATCAAGGTGTTGAAAACGGAATCAACGATGTGATTTAACATAAAAACCAAAGATTCAATAGGACGTACCCCAGTTGATAAAAACCCAGATCGTGTATTGAATGAAGAAAACTTGGGAGGATCCAAACTGAGAGGTATAGAGAGGGGAAATTTTTGAAAGTGGGGTGAGAATTTTGAAAACGTTTTCTATGTTTTCTTTGTTTCGATTCTGTTTCTTAATTTGTCGGAAACGGATTAAGGAGCATACTCAGTTTGACAAAAAGTTGCGTATGTCATATTGCCTTCTTTTTTTATTTTCCTTTAATAATAATAATAACTCCTCAAAAAATTAATTAATCTATTTTAGTAATACAATAATTACTCCACAAATTATTTGTTTATTAATATTTTTAAATCTACATTATACGATAAACATATATAATGAATTTTCACAAACTATTTACTCAGAGGATTTCTTTTTTGTTTTTCTACATTTTATTTAAGAAAATTTTAATATTCAAAATATATGATTTAGTAATGTGCGAACACGCGCGCGTGTACTATAAGTACTTAACTTGCTTCAATTTTTTTTTTTTTTTTTTTTTATGAGAAAAATTAAAAAAATACAAAACCCTAATTCTGTAAAACCCCTTAACCAGAGTCACTACAGAGAAGCATAGTGGATGGAGATGGCAACCTCAAGTGAAGCGTCACTTGACTTGGAAGCATTGCGCCGCCTAAAATCAACGGAGCCACCATTGTGGCTAGCGCCGAGTGCGGAGCTTTCTGATACGGCGCGTAGTGCTTCAGAAAAGCTGTTCTCATTCCTTAAAACTTATGCCCCAAAATCGCCGTTGGATCAATTATTGGTAAACGGGTTCGATGCGGAACAGATTTGGCAGCAGATAGATTTGCAGTCGCAGCCTCTGTTGTCGAGCCTTAAGAGAGAAGTGAAGAAGTTTGAGAAGAATCCGGGGGAAATTGGGGAGATTAAGAAGGTTTTAGAAGGTGATAAGAAGGGTTTGGGAGTGGAAAGGAAGGGTCTTGAGGAGGAAAGTGATGGTTTTGATGAAGAATTGGATGATGGGTTTGATGATGATGATGATGATGATGATGATGATAGGGAGGAGGAGGAGGAGGAGGAGGAAAAGGAAGTGAAAGGGGAAGAGGAAGAGGAAGAGGAAGATGAAGATGAAGATGAAGGAAGTGAGAGTGAAGAGGAAGAAATGGAGGAAGAAGAGAAGGGAAAAGGAGGGATAGAAGATGATTTTTTGAAGATAAATGAATTGCAGGAGTATTTAGAGGAGGATGAAGCTAGGGAATATGGAATAAAGAAGGATAGTGATAATAAGAAGAAGAAAGGAGGGAGAAAAGTGTTGGATGAGGACGAGGATGATGACGATGAAGAGGATGAAGAAGACGAGGAGGAGGTGAGGGTTCTTTTTTCTATTCGGTGTTTGTGAATATTGAGAAATTTGATGGGTTTGAACTTGGTTTTAGAGAATTTTACTATATAATCCATATCTTTTCAAGGGAGTTGCAGTGCATTTTTTATAGGAATCAGCTCTTTATTTTCATTTATTTTCTTGTCATTCTTCCTAAGACTCATGGTTTTGCAGCTCGGTCTTTTTGATGATGAGGAGGATGAAAAGGCGGACGAGTTGGAAAATGCCAGGTGCTTTCTCATTACTATTTATCTGTAAATTCAAGTCTGCTCTGACGATTATCACAGAGATGCATTTTTTCTTTTCTTTTCAAGTCTGCTCTGGTTATTTATTGGTTATAAGATCATGGGTAGAACTTGTGTTTTATAATTTTTGTGCCAAATGCTTTTGTTAAGTGAGTCTAGCTTTGTTTTTGTATACATTATAATTTCTAAATCTTAGTGTGCTTTATATTGCCCTTCATTTACCTTGTACAATTTCTTTTTTATATTTAGGTATGAAGACTTCTTTGGTGNGGGAGTTGCAGTGCATTTTTTATAGGAATCAGCTCTTTATTTTCATTTATTTTCTTGTCATTCTTCCTAAGACTCATGGTTTTGCAGCTCGGTCTTTTTGATGATGAGGAGGATGAAAATGCGGACGAGTTGGAAAATGCCAGGTGCTTTCTCATTACTATTTATCTGTAAATTCAAGTCTGCTCTGACGATTATCACAGAGATGCATTTTTTCTTTTCTTTTCAAGTCTGCTCTGGTTATTTATTGGTTATAAGATCGTGGGTGGAACTTGTGTTTTATAATTTTTGTGCCAAATGCTTTTGTTAAGTGAGTCTAGCTTTGTTTTTGTATACATTATAATTTCTAAATCTTAGTGTGCTTTATATTGCCCTTCATTTACCTTGTACAATTTCTTTTTTATATTTAGGTATGAAGACTTCTTTGGTGGGAAAAGGAAAAAAGTTCCCCAGAAAAAATCAACAACAATTGATGAGTCAGAAGAAGATTCGGACTTGGATGATGAACAAGATGATGACAAGGCAATGGAAAACCAGGTACTTGTTTTTTATATTAAGCATATTAATTGAACCAATTCATTTTAGCAAATATTAGATTGAAAATCACTCTTGAGGATAACTCTTGAAGTTTCTTTCCTTTTGCAGAAAAATGATAACCTTTCCACACATGAAAAACAACTTAAGAAACTTCAATCTGAAATAGAGAAGATGGAGAAAGCAAATTTGGACCCAAAAACTTGGACCATGCAAGGAGAGGTAAGCTTGTTATTCCTTCAATATCTTGTGTTAGAAATGCTTGTATTTTATTCGCATGTTTTAGATGTAAATCAACTATGTATATGAAGTTGTGCATGGGTTTTAGACACTATGGTTCTTGATAACAGGTAACTGCTGCACAAAGACCGAAGAACAGTGCTTTAGAAGTTGATTTAGATTTTCAACACAATGTGAGGCCTGCCCCTGTAATTACTGAGGAGTTTACAGCATCACTTGAAGAGATAATTAAAAAGAGGATTCTTGAGGTGAACTTAATATTCTAATTGTCTTCATATGCAATGTACAATGATTCTTTTGACAGTTGCTATGATTGATCATTGGGTATTTGTTTGAATTCTCTCTCTCTCTCTCTCTCTCTAAATTTTTAACAAGTTACTTTTCTATGATAATTTTTTTAGGGGCAATTTGATGATGTTCAAAAGGCTCCTAGTTTACCCACTAAAGCACCGAGAGAATTGAAAGAGTTGGTAAGTACAATTTCTTTGAAATAGTTAACTTTTCATTTTTTATCTCCCTATTTACACTTGTTAGGATGAAAAGTGATATGTTCAATCTCCTTTTTGTTAAATTTGCAGGATGAGAATAAGAGCAAAAAGGGTCTCGCTGAAATTTATGAGGTTTGAGCATTATGACCAGTGCACATTATTGAATTAGATGCTTTTTCCCTCCTCTTTTCTAGATCTGTTATTCTGCAGACTGGGTTGTATATATGTTGCAAGCATTAGTGACTGAACTATTGGTCATTTATTTATTTGCAGGAAGAATATGTTCAAAAGACAAATCCAGCTGCCGCTCCATTGTCTTTCTCAGATGAACAGAAGAAAGAGGTACCTACCTAAGTCGTTTTATTGTGTTCACTGTTGCCCCTAATTCATTCTTTCTTGTACTTCGTCGCATTTTTTGTTTTTAGAAGAATATGTTTTCACTAATTAGTTGTTAGACTATATATAATCCCATTTTACTCTGTTTCTTTGTGTCCTTTCAATTTAATCTACAATGGCAGTGTTATATTCGTCTAACTTTTTTGTTGTCATTTCTGCTAGGCAAGCATGCTCTTCAAGAAACTGTGCTTGAAGTTGGATGCACTTTCTCATTTCCACTTCACTCCGAAACCTGTATGCTTCTCAATTATCATAATAAATATAATCTATATTTGGAGCCATACATGCATTTTCTGGGAATGCTCTGCTTATTTATCTTTGATGTCTTGACCTGGATAGGTTATTGATGACATGTCTATACAAGCAAATGTCCCTGCTCTAGCCATGGAAGAGGTAAGGGTTTATTGAAAAAAAAATTTGAAGTTTTTGCTTTGTTGTAATAAACTGTAACTCTAAACTAATACACTTGATATGTCTTCTGTGGGTAGATTGCACCTATTGCTGTTTCAGATGCAGCTATGCTAGCTCCGGAGGAAGTCTTTGCTGGCAAAGGTGATGTGAAAGAAGAAGCAGAACTAACGCAGGCAGAGAGGAAGAGAAGAAGAGCTAACAAGAAAAGGAAATATAAGGGTAAGATTGGATAACAGGAATATGAAACAGTTTTATTGGCTGGGATTTCTTGTTTGTCTCGTAGTTGTTGGCTTGAAAGATTTATGTACCTCTCGTCACTATTAATTTTGGGCTACATGGTCACAGCTGAAGCAGCAAAGAGGACAATGGCAAAGAAGGCAAGAGAGAACACATCGCAAAACCACAATGATGGTGACTAATCTCTGACTTCTCTATCGGTAAATAATACTGGATTTTAATGAAATGTATCTCCCTCACATAAACTCTTCTCAATATTGCAGGCAATGAAGAATAAGGAATACGTTGATGTATGGAGAGTTCTCTGAAAAATCTTCTGCATAGGTTTCAAATTCAGGACTGCAGGGGAAGAGAAAGGAAAAGAGAGCAAGTGCTGGGCCACCCAATGATCTTTACTGGAGTTCATGGTCTTTGCAAGTTTTGATGGAGCAGTATGAAAAAGCATACAAATACAAAGGTCTGCAGAGAGTTAGCTTTCCTTGGTTATTCCTAGTGAAGCAAAAATTTTGGTAGGTTGTTCATCCAATCTGTTGTAGATGACATTAGTTTTAAGAAGAGGTTATTTTCTCGACTTATTCATTGCATATTATTCTTTCTATCAGCTCATCTGTTGTATGCTACGACTTCTGTTTGTCACAAACACATTTACTTTGTACTTTATAAAACTTACTCGACGAGGTTGGTGTTGAAGAATTCAAGATAAAACAATGTCCGTTAAACAGTTTTTTCAACAAAGCCAAAGCATTATGCTGCAAAAAACTTTATGTCACAAGATAAGTGACCTTAAATCCTTTATTCAAATTCTTCACACATATGACTTTAACCCCTCAAAAATCAAGATATAACTTACTGAAACAATTTCAAACAAAATTCTTACATGTGAAGCAAAATCCAAGGGTAATAGAAATGTTATTAGAAATTAATATCATAAACCTCAATAAAATCAGACTAAGAAACAACTCCTACGTAATACAGAGATTGAGTGTGTTATTCCTCAATATGTTGGGCCACCACAATAGAGATATATGTGAATGACAAAAGCGTCACATCCTGTTTTGGGCAGTCCATTGGCTTCCTTCTCCCGAATTTTTATCTCCCCACCTAAAATCAGAAGGCTTTATTCTACTTACTCAAGTTTTCTTCAAGCCGGTCAATGGCAGCACCAACACCGCTCTTTGCTTCCCCTCCACCTGAATTATGGTAAGCAGCCATACTCCCCTCATTTGCTTTCTCTACCAACTTCAACTGAACCCAACCTGTCATCAAATAAATGTCATATTTTCAAGTTCTGCACCACACATTCTATGCTCAATTCCATTTCACAATTTTCTTTTCTCAGTCTCTGTTGTAGATTTGATTGATCTAATCTCAAAGTAAATGAACAATAGAGTTACTCTTGAACGCTGTAAATACATCACAGAATCAGCCAACATGTTGTAATCAGCTACAAAATGTAAGAGCTTTTCTTTTAAAAACAGAATAAATAAAAGGAAACTTATCAAGCAGAGGTGAGATCCACGCACTAAATTTAGCATGGATGTTTAAACTAAACCTACTTTTGCTGTATTCAGAAGGAAAATGTCGATATTTCGTGGAAAAGAAATAACCTGATGCAATGAAAAATCATTAAAATGATACTATCACTTCATATGATTATCAACCAAATATGGGTTAGTGACTACCATATGGTGATTCCTATTATTATTAATTTGCGTATAAAATGCCTACTATAACAACAATAACATTTCATCATCAACAAACAAGATAGCAAGGGTGATCAAGAATGTGTTAGAGGTCAAGTGACATGCCATTTTATAAGCTACAAAAGGAGTAAATCTATTACCAAGAGGGAAACAAATTGCTGCTCCCAAAGCTGATCCAAGTGCCACATTCCTTGCACGCCAAAGTAGTGAGCCCGGCACTGAGGTACAATAAAATGACATCAGAAGGGTAATCAGAGAAAGGTTGTGATTCATCGCTCTTCAACTTGTAAACAAATGATGCTAAATATTACAGGTTAATTTGACTACACGGAAAGTAACTGTAAAGTAGTTGCCACTGGATTATGTAAACCGAAGCCAATAACCAGTGACTGAACATGTAAGATGAGAGATGTATGATATCTTACTAATTAACCCAAATGTAGCTGCAGTAGCTGAACCAGCACCAACAACATTGAAGACATCATGCACGCCCCGTTTCTCAGCAAGCAGATTTTGTAAACCACAAAATGCAGCTGTGAACATTCCAAGGCGCACTCCACCAACAATAGAGCCACGAGTTACTCGAATAAACCTTTTCTCCATTGCATCTCTCATCAACCGATATTGCTCACGCTTATCTGTCGTGCTTCCAAGCTTTAACATCACTTCTGCATCCTTGCTCTGCATAAACACAAAAAAAAATCTCATAAGAACAATCAAACCACAGTTAAAATACAACTACATAGTGAAAACATTAACATGAACTGCCATCTTATATCAAACTTAGGAACTTTGATGTAAATTACTCAACTTTTTATCATGAACATCCCAAAATGAACCCACATCTACAAGTTTAGTTCTCATTCATTGCTACAAATGACTAAATTCTTTAACAGAACAAACACAATACTTACCACTGAAGCAGATGCTTCCTTGCTGCCACCGTACAACATCCCTGCGAACACTCCGATCACAGTGGCGGTTCCCCAGTTGACTGTTCCTGCTAGTCGTTGACTATTCTAAATTTTATCCAAAAATTTTGGGTTAGGTTGTTGTTGGTTATCAAAATTCACAAAGAATAAAATGCAGTAAACAAGAGAGAGAGTTACCTTGGAAACAGTTTCTTCGGACTTCTCGAGCGCTTCCATTTGTAAATTGAAACCTTGATGAGTCGGTTGTACGGGATAATGAATTTGATCAATCAGATTTCTATATATTTTCCATCGGTTTCTCGGCTGCCGACTTGAACCGCTGTGGTGTGGTGATGGCTCTCTTCAGTTCTTGCGGTGAGTGTAGTCTCCGAAATGACAATATTCTCCTGTGTTTTATCTGAAATTACTTTCAAGCCCTATTTCTAATTAGAACAATACCATACATAAAATCAAACAAAAAAACAAAAGATAGATTAGTATTTTATGTAAATTTTATATGATTTTTGTCCGACTAAATTGTATGAAAAGCAAAATATTATTGTACTTAATAATTTAATATTAGGGATAATTAACTGAAACCCCAAATCTTTTGGTTGAACCAGTCAATCCCAATGAGTTTCAAAACCAAACAAAACCACCCCATATTTTGTATTTTGACCAATGATTAGAAACCCGACCTATGTAGTGACTCAACTAGGCCACCAGGTCACGAGTCGAGTGGTTTTACAGATTTGACCGACGGGTCAAACTGATGTCTAAAGGTTTGAAATATAACAAAAATACCCTTAAAAATTTTATAAATCTCTATAGGTTTTAAAGCTTGCAAAAACACCCCAAACATGATCGTCAGCATCGACAAATAGGGCTTGTTTCTAGCTAAAGGTAGAAAAGTGACCCGCCCAGCCCGGCCCGCGGCGGGTTACATGCTTTGGCGGGCTAGGCTTAACTCGCCTAGTGTAACGACCCGATTGCTTCCCTTCGGACTCGTTCGGCCTTAGGTGCTAATCTCCCGACGATTGCCCTAAGTCAGCCTTGCTTGCTCACGCTCCTAGCCCTGCAAGTAAGAAAACACTCACACAAACTCACAAGAGATGCTAGAAGAGAACTCTTTTACTAATTGAGAGAANGTTTCTCATATTATTTGCTATACACCCTCTGGTGTGTGTCACGGCCTCATCTGACCGGAGGCACGGCTGGGCGCTACCACTCTACGTGACTTCTACTCATTTCTCTACCGATCGGATTTGGTCATGCATGGATTCGAAACCCTTGGCCATGTGAGTGTACATTCTTTCTCTATATCTCTTGAATGTCACGACCCTTTCTTACCGAAGGCACGGCTGGAATCTCATGTTCCACTCTACGTGACGGTAACGGCCCCATCTTACCGGAGGCACGGCTGGGGATCACAAAGCATCCACTCTCGTAATTCTACTCATCACTCACGGGTTCTCCATCGCACGACTTACTCTATTCTCTTCTTTAATTCTCTAGCTACTCATCATAATGTAGCTTAACTCTTAGAGTAATTCTCTACTCTTTCTTAACTTTTTCTCAAGTTCTCTCTCAATGCGCAATTAATGCATATAGATGGTTCATGCCTATTAATGCACTTAGGAAATGCCAATATGCAATGTTGCATTAATGAAGGTTCATAACTCATTCTCATGCTTCTCTTAGGCATTTCATCAAACAACTCATGTGCATATAAAACTCTTTTCTAACTATAACTCTATTTCTCTTTTTAACCATCCAAAATTGGAAGGAAAACTCCCTTCCATGGGCATAATCCATACCATAGAAGAACACTCCCAAAATATAAGCTCATTCTCATCTAACTTCATCTCAACTCATCAAATATCCACACTTCTTATAAAGGGAAAGCATCCAACAAACTCAACATGCATACTTATCTCAATCTAATTCTCAACAAGTAGACATATCTCTCTACTCAATTTCTCAAATACATACATAAAACATGCATACATCATTTCTACTAAATCTCTACTCAAAAGAATTCTCAAATCTTAACTTGAGTTGGGATTTACTTACCTTGTAATAAAGAACTCTCACTAGTATTTCCTTTCCTTTATTTGCTTGACTTTTCTCTACCCTTTAAACAATAAAACCATACAACTTTAATATACAAAAATACACAAAACCTTACATCCAAAGCAAGAATCCTTACCTTAGGATGACTTAGCTTGATTTTCTACTCCAATCACTCCAAAAAGCCCTTTCAAAATCCTTGAACTAATGAAAAAGGAATTGAGAGGAAGTAGGAAAGGAGAATGGCGGTGGAGAAGAAGATGAATGAATGAGTTTCTAAAGTTAAACCCTTATTATCTCATATTTTCTCCATATTTTCCCATTTTACCCTTACTCTTTCTTAAGAATTCCACTTTTTCCCTTTTAATTCCTTACAATTGCACCCTCAATTAAACTATTCTCCATGCAATTACCTTGCATTTCACTCCCCACTTTTCCTGCTAATTAGAGGTAGAATGGTCATTGTGCTCCAAAGGAAGAATTCTAGAAACTTCATTAAACTTTTTGTTAGGCTCGTCGCCGCGGCGAAGACAGTGACCCCAAAATTCCACCAAGTCTCTACAATTTCAAGGCAACCAAACCATATTAACAATATTCCAAGTCAAACAAGAGGAAAGTAAGAGACATTAGCTACGTACCTCGGGTGGGGCGTTACACCCCATCACCACGAAAACACTCCCCTTAGCCTCTTGACCAAAACCCATCTCAACCCTCCCTCGTTCGCCCCCCACCCCCAATCGCCAGTGACAAGAAGTTTTTTTCGGTGACATTATTTTGCGATTTCTGGTTGATTCACTCATCGAAAATTGATGTCGTTGCCACCATTCCACTCACCAGCCATTCCTCTTCAAATTCTAGCCTTCAATTGTTCACGGATTGATGTCTTAATTTCTAGGGTTTTGAATGAATAGGAAAATTTGTAGGTCGACTTGGTGAAGGCTTTGAGTCACAGATGAATCGGTTCAACCGGCTGGGTCGAGCCGGGTTCCTAATCATTGATTTTGACATGTTTAAGGCCGATTGATTTTATTTGGGGAGAATATCATGTCTAACACTTACAGACTTTTGAATTTATCATTCGAATGACAAATTTTGTTCTTTTCATAAATGGATCTTCAAAGTTTAAATTTTTTACCACAAATATCTCTTTGAACTAATTTTGTTACATTGTTGTTAGGTTTGCAAAACATTTTTCTTATAAGACCAAAGTAATCACTTTATCCCATCACTTTCTTATAAGAACAAAGTTACTATTTCACTCATCTTAAAAAAAAAAAAAACATAATAGAGTTATGGCAAAAGCCAAATTACCCATTTACTTAATGAGAGTGTTAATTGACACCCCAAATCTTTTGGTTTGATGTCAATCCCCACGAGTTTCAAAAACCAACAAAACCACCCCATATTTTGACATCTCCATTCTCCAAGGCCAACTGGATTCTCTTTTTAGTTCAAAAATTGCACCTTGGAATTCCACTGTTCTAGTCACAGACAAGCAAAATTTTACTTGATTACAAAGCAACCATCGTCTTCTTCCTGCAACAACAAAAAGCAAACTAAAGCTATATCCCAAATACAAAAAGCAGCAGAATGATTAATTTAAAAAGAAAAAAGGAAAAATTCCTCAACAATACATGTGAATAAAGTCCTTAAAATTCATTTCTTGAACTAAGCAAAGTGTCGCTACTGCCTCCATTTCTCTTCCCTTCTCCTTCCCGTTTCCTCTCATTACTTGCCTCCATGTCTAAACTCTTCTTCGCCGCCCTCCCATTATTCATTCTTTCAACTTTAGCCGACGCCCACGTCAACAATTGCAGATCATACTGCGGAAACATAACCATCGACTACCCGTTTGCACTTCAACAAGGCTGCGGCCACCCCGGTTTCCGAGACCTCCTGTTTTGCGTGAATGATGTGTTAATGTTCCACATCAGCTCAGGATCTTACCGCGTCCTAGAAATCGACTACGCTTTTCAATCACTCACCCTCCACGACCCTCACATGTCAACCTGTGACACCATCGTCCTCGGCAGCAAGGGCAACGGCTTCGCCGTCGATCACTGGCGAGCGCCGTACTTCAATCCAACGGCTGACAACGTGTTCATGTTAATAGGATGCTCGGCTCAGTCCCCACTCTTCCAGGGTTTTCCGGGGCAGCACTTGCCGTGCAGGAATGTTTCGGGCATGGGATGCGAGGAGTACTACGGATGTCCGGCTTGGAGTTTGGTGGGCCGTAAAGGGGTGGGCAAGATGTTCGGGTCAGGCCCACCGGAGTGTTGCGCGGTGGCTTTTGAGTCGATCAAGGTGATTAATCTTACGAAGCTTCAATGTGAAGGGTATTCTAGTGCGTACAGTCTTGCGCCGTTGCAGAATGATGGGCCGAGCGAGTGGTCTTATGGGATTCGTGTGAAGTATTCGGTTCAAGGGAACGATGAATTCTGCAGAGCCTGTGAGGCCACTGGTGGCACTTGTGGGTATGGCAGTGATGGGGTTAGGCAGCTGTGCATGTGTGGGAACTTGAACTCCACATCAAATTGTGACTCAGGTTAGATCATTAGATTACATACAGATAACAGATTAAAGAATGAAAAAAAAAAAAAAAAATTATTGAATCTTGTTGAATGGAATCTGAAAGAGCTTTGTATATATGCAGTTGGTTCATCATCAAGTTCAAGCAGAAGATCATGGTCTCTGTTGGAAACTTTTGCAGGTATTATTTTTAGGGTAGTAATAGGCTGATAAATCTTTCATACTAACTTTCTCTCGCAAATTAGTCATCTCGCAATGGGTCCCGACTATCTAACAATAGATTCTGTCTAATCAATTACGTACTCTTACGTCGCATTTATAAGAGAAGGTTAGTGAAAAAGATTTGTTAGCCTACTATTATTATTATTTTTAAGTTTTTTGAAGATAAATTTTAGTCCTTATATACTTGATTGTCTAGTATTTTAGAGGTACTTTTAAGGCCCTCGGGTTTTTCAAAAGGGTAATGCTATTTATACAAACTCTTTGTAAAAGAGAGTTTGTACAAACTGACGTAATATGCCATGTGAGTGTCACGTGATATAAGGGTCCACATAACATTAATGTAACATACTTTGTAATGTACCACATCAGTTTATACAACCTTTTTTGTACAAATATCATTACCCTTTTTCAAAAATACGAAAATCTCCTCTTAAGTTTTTGGAACATTTTGTGCCTCTGTTTTCGTACGGTAATTAGAATCGAAGAAAAGACGTATAAAATTATAAAAAAGTTTGGCTTAAAACAATAGTTTCTGAAATTATTATGCATCTTCTTCTGTCTTATGGTCGTTCCAGTATTTCAATTTTATTTTTTGAAGTTCTGCCTCTTTCTCTCCACTCTCTGTCTCTGAATAATTTACTAGGATATACAATTTGATGTTGATAGAATTAAGTATATATAAGTGGAGGGTGCTGCTTTTATATTTATTAGTTGTGAAAATTTCGCAGGATTTTGTATGTTGATGTCAGTGTGGATGACTGAAACTATTATTAATGGTTGAACTGCACCGGGGCTCATCATCAACATTTTAAGTTTTGATTAATGTCCGAGTCGACAGAAGCTATTATTAAGGGAAATGTTAGCATTATTTTGGCCATAGAATTTATGTTCTTGGAGTCCTTATACAATCACCTTCTCATTACTTTCATTATATTGTATTATTGTGAGTATATTTGCTAGTTGTAGTTGTTTCTTCAACATGAAAATTTTTACAATATATATTAAACTTATTTTTACATATGTCATGGCAATTGTTGTTTATAGAATTATAGAATTGTTATTGTGTATATAATCAATTACTTTCACATACTCTAATTTTGGATTTTCACTAACCAATCCCTCTTTTAATCTACATTATTATGTGCTTAAATATATTCATTTAATTATAAAAAAATTTAAAAAGAAATAATCGAAGCACCGACCATATAAGATATATTAGGAAGCATAGAAATGTAATATTTAATTATAAAGGAGAACGACATTTTCCCACCCAAGGTTTGGCGAAACGACACTTTCCCACCTATCAAGTTTCAAAATGACACTTTCCACCATTCGTCAAATTTTGTTAGTGTTTTCTGTTAACATTTGATTGAAAGGACAAAAATACCCTTAAATAGTTTATTATAAATTAAAATTTAGTTAAGTCAAAGTCTTTACTTGATTATTTATTAGTTCAAGTGTAAAGATATCTTTTTTTCCTTTGTTTATTTAATTAATTAGGAATTTTGATTTTTTATGTTAATTAGTAAAAATGAAAATTATTATATCATGAAAAACATTAGATATTTAGTAGATTATTGAATAATAATGATGAGATATTTATGACATTATAAATAAATAAATATGAAGGTCATTTAACTTTAAACAATTCCATAAACTTATTCATAACTTTTTAGGTAGGGTTAAGGTTAACTATTTTATCTTCTTTTACTTTTCAATATTTGACTTTTTGGCTAATTAAAAAATAATAAAAAATTTATAAAGTCAAATATTTAAGGGTATTTTCATTTTTTCAGTAAAATATTAACGGAAAACATAACAAAATCTAAAAAATGGTAGGAAAGTGTCATTTTGAAACTTGAAGGGTGGGAAAGGTCGTTTCGCCAAAGCTTGGGTGGGAAAATATCGTTCTCCCTATTATAAATGCTATCTTCCTAAGTTATTAAATATTATACACGGGACTATGATCTTGAATCATGTGACTCCACTCGCACTTTAATTAGCAATACGTTGGTCAAATATATATAAATAAATATGACAATAAATGACTTAACAATATCGATGGGTCTAATTTTTTTTTAATTGGGTTATATTACTGTGACACATGTTGAAATAATCTTAACCAATTTAATAAGAGTTAACTACTTTTTCACACCCAAATAATGGCTTAATGAACCTCCCACCCACAAACTTTTAAAATATCACTTTACTACCCAAATTTATATTCCGATGGCGAACAAAAAACAAACTTGGTCCAAGCAGTTAGGGCTTTTGAAGAGAAGAGGTAGATGAGTCTTTTGGTAGTTAAAGGTTAGATTTTGGTGGTTGGGATTGATCGAAATTTGACTTGGAAGAGGCAGTGGCATAAACTTAAATTGCTCGACTGCTGGCGATTAGCGGGATTGACAGGAGTAGAGTTTGAGGGGTTTGGTGAGTGATGATAGTGGAAGAGAATGGTGGTGGTGTGGGATCGCAATGGTGTCAGAATTAGAAATAAAATATAAATTCGAATAATAAAATGATATTTTAAAAGTCTGTGGGTGAGAAAGTGTCATTAAACCATTATTTGGGTGAAAAAAATTCTTTTACTCATTTAATAATTTTAATTTTTAAACACTTTGGACTCAACTATTGGCACACTATTGCCCATCATAATTCATACCATCAATCTTACGTGATTAATGTACTTTAAAAATAAAATAATTTAGGGTGCGTTTGGTTTATTATTTTGGATAAGATTTTGGGAATAATATTTGGGTAGTTGAATAGGGGAGTATTACGAGGTAAAATTTAAAAATTTACAACAAAATCCCCTAGGTTTGCTAATTTAATTAAACACCCCAACATATAAAATGACAAAAACACCCCCACCACCTGCAATGCCAGATTCCAGCCACCACCGTCGAAATTTGGCCCGAAAATTGTGTTACGACATAGACCGGTCGGATTTGTGTCGTAACATGTCGCTATGGCCTTTTCCGGCTAAATCCATGGTGGATCTAGTCAGAAAAGGCCAGATCTATGGCCAGATGTGGCTATCGATGACCGGAAAAGGCCAAAGAATGGGTTGATGGGGGTGTTTTTGTTAATTTTTAAACTTTTTTTGGGGATATTTAATGAAATAAATAAACTTAAGGGGTCTAAAAGTAATTAAAAAATATAGTAATATTTCCAGAATAATGTGTCAAATAATATTTGGAGGATAGAATTAGGAATATGGGTAGAAATAGGGAGCCAAACGCATATTTTAGATATAATCTCAATAACACAAAATTTATTTATTTAAAAGTACTTTCGTAATCAACCTCACATAAATAGTATTTAATATTTATCATTTATATTTCGGTTTTTTTTTTTTTTTTTTCTCTTTTTTCCCCACAACCAAGACACCAATCTTATAATAACTATATAAAAAAGTTGTTTACTTTAGTAAATAATATACTTTATTATTCAACGTAGTATGCGAACATTTCCATTCTATGGTTTATGATTATGGTTAATATCCATAAACCTCCATGAGGTTTGGATAGAATAAACGTATGAAAACCATTCATTAACATCCCGCACATTTTATTAAGACTCTCAAACCTCGACTACTCTTTGCTACATTGTTCATAGAGTGATTATGTAACACCCACATCATAACGATTTTCTATATGTGAATAACAAAGTGAATCTTCAGAGTTTATTTAGGGTCTTATTTATAGACCATGAATAAAAATTATATGTTTTCTCAAGATAAATAACTATTATATAACTTCTAATAACTGTGTAGACGTTATTTAATAGTTAAATTATATTGTCCTAAGGTTGCATTTGGTTCGAGGTGATATAAGATTAATCCTGTAATCTTTGTTTAATTTTCAAGATTCTCTCGTTTGGTTGTCAAGTAATAAAATATTATATAATCTTTTATTGTAAAAAGTGTTTACTGTTGGTAATATTGAAGGTAATCAGATTACCTTCCCAAGGAGTATTAATATAAGATTACCGAGGTAATCTTAATTTTGACCCTATTTTGCCTTTAATCTTTTATCATTTAGGACACATTTGCCCTCATATGTCTACCAAATAACAATTAGCCCATACCCCCCACATTTGAAATATAGCTAAAACACCCCAGCTATAAAAAAGTTAAAAGTTAACAAAATACCCCCAGTTACCCAAGACCACCGCCGGCCGCTAGCCACCATCGCTAGCCGTTGGCGAAAGTCATCATATCGAGGCAAGACCGATGGGATCTTGCCATTCGTGTGTCGGTAAGGACGTTTTTGGCCATGGATTTGTGATCCATGGCCATAAATGACCAGATCTGGCCGTTTCACGGCCAAAGATGTGGCTGTGAAATGCCATAGATCTAGCCGTGAAAAGGGCAAATCTTTGGCTATGAAATGGTCGCTGTTTCACGGCCATATTTACGACCAGATCTAGCCATTTTTGGCCATGAATCTTTGATCCATGGTCGGATTAGGCCTTACTGGTGCACAACCAGCCAGATCCGGTCAGCGGTGCGCCATTACGGCATCTGCCGGCAGTGGCTTGGGGTGGATGGGGGTAATTTTGCTACAAATTAAAGATTTATATGGCTGGGGTGTTTTAGCAAAATTTCAAATGTAGCGGGGTAAAAAAAAATTTAAAAAATAATAATATATTATTATTTAAAAAGGAGGGCAATTTAGTAATCTATATAACATACCCACTCATTTATTCTCTCAACCAAACATATTATTATAACATACCCATCAATTTATTCCAACCAACCAAATACGTTTCTCTAAAGATTCCTTGGTAATCTATCTTTTCAGTAATACAACATTCTCCCGTGATACAACATTCCCTGAACCAAACGTACCATAAGAGTAATGTCTCTTACATGGGACATATCTCTTAGACCAAAGTGTATAAGGTTTATCATATTTGTTATAAACCTTTAACACTTTGTTTCTTGCATGAACTCATGCATATTTAATTATAGGGAGAGCGGCTTTTCACCCCCAAGGTTAGGCAAAACGACATTTTCCCACCCTCCGTTAGGTTCTGTTAGTGTTTTCCGTTAATATTTGACTGAAAAGACAAAAATACCCTTATATATTTGACTTTATTATTTTTATTATTTTTTTAATATCAACAAATCAATTACCAAAATACCCACTCTTTAAAAATGAAATCACTAGTATGCCCTCAACTTTTATGAAAATTAAGTTACCAATTTATCCTTTTTTTTATTAAAAATAATGTTTCAAATGTATGAAGTTACCGTTGGATTTTTAAAATATTAAAACCTGTAAAATTAGCATTTTATCCTTATAGTTGTTGCAACCTTACATTGACATTTATATTTCAATTTTGTCAATTTAAACCTAAATAAAACAAAGTACTAGTATTACTAACGAATTTATATAAAAAAAATTTGTCAATTGAAACCCACTAAGAATAGGGAATTCAGTACCAAGAAAGTAGGTTTCCACAAACTTTGTGCAAAGACAAAAAAATAGTACTGTATAATTAAAAGAGAAGCAAAGTGTAAAACCAAGTAGCCACAAATTACAAAAATTTCATATATTTCCCCTTCTATCTTGTTGCTTCCAAAAGTTGTCCCGAAAATAATTTATGTTGCCAAAACCGTAAATTCCTAGAATACTTCAATCTCCTTGCCTTCATGATATCTCAATCTTTCTAACATTAGCTCTACACTTGAAATCATCGTTAGAATGATACCTTACACAAAAAAATATATCATTCTATTAATATTCTTTCAACTGAATAGAGAACACAAAGTAACAGCAGACAGGCAAAATTTGTGACTGATCCCATAAAAAATAACCATAAATTTCAACAGAAAACATCAAAATAACCACAAAACAAGGCACAAAACATCAATTATTCATACGTCTTGGTTTGAAAGTTCTAATGAAGTAATTAAACGGAATTCTATTTTGATA